GAATTATGTTGTGAAGAAGCTACAAATAGATATAGATGGATTTAGTGGGCAAAAATCTGGCAGATCCAATAAAATATGAGAACATGTGAATTTGTTCACATTTGGCCAGATGAATATAACAGCAGAGCATTACCTAAACTGAAAACAACTGCAGAATCCTGAGGTGCAGAGTGATCGAGCGTATTCAAGTGTATGAGTGACAAAGTTAGTAGGCAGATGGGCATCAGAAATGAAAATGGCAAACTCAGTCCTGTCGAGCCAATAATGTCCTCATTATTAACATCTAGAGCTAGTGTCAAAGAAGAGCTGTCTTGCAGACGAGTTGAGCAACAGCCTGACAACAATATCACGAACCCTGGGTCTATATATGTTTCTGTAATTATGAACCCTGATAGCTGCGCTGTCATAATCACAATATCTCAGTGTGAGGGGGACAAATGAGATAGGAAGGAAAATATCAATACCTGACCAATTTGTGTTAGCTGTTTTTCTAATCAGTAGACATTTGGGACAATGACATTCATTGATGTTTTTTTTTGCAAGTCACAGGCAATTCATACCAATGCTAACAATTAGTATTTATTTTCTTAGGACAACCAAGCAGACATTTTGTATACTTTCTGGAACTCAGTTACAGAAATCTTGACTCTGAAATTCCAACAGGCTACAAATTGTAAGTACCTGTATTGATTTTATAGATATTTTCCAAATCAACCTGTTCAGAGACGTTGTTACACAGTTCAGGAGCAGGTGGGGCTTAACCCAGAGGGAGGGAACACTACCACTACACCACAAATGCTACACCAGAATCCATCGGAAATTCTAAAGAATGATTCACTGAGTATTTTACTCATTATTGGCTATTTCTTGTATTTCTTTATAAAAATAAGGAAGAATAGCTGTGCACTAAATATGGGCAATCACTTTCTTCTCCAATGTCTTTGAAATACAAAAGTTGGACCTTTGTCTTCCTGAATACAATCAAAAGTAAGGAACAAGAGAGAAGCCATTTGGTCTATTAAGCAACATCCTTGCAAAAGTTATGTGTGGTTGGGCTTGTTCTGAACTTGTTTCAGTTTTTTTTTGTGGGAACATTCTGCACTCCTTCATGCTAACAAATTTACGTTGATATACACAAACTAAGTATTCTTTTTCAGTTCTCTAGTATTGATTTTTAAGAGGTTACCTACCAAAGTAGAATCTTTTTTTATTTGAGTCAATACTTATTCCTGCATATTCACTTGACCTTTCAATCCTACTCCTACCCAGAAAGTTCTTTTTAAGTGGAGTTAATCCATACAACATTAACTGCTTTCACTGAGCAGTTGTTCCACGTATTCAGTATTTTGTGGGATAGAGCATTTCTATTACTTGGTCCAGTTTGAGCTATGTTAATTTTGTACTCACCCTATGATTCTGCATTCAGTTTGTATAGTCTGGTTTTATACATTTTGTATGTGTCTATTTAATTATAATGCCACCATCAGTCCCTTCTTTAGTATTCTGCTGAATCAGTTTCATTGTAGGATTGAGCAAAATTTCTGATTACAGAACGTTCATATTTGTAAAGTGTTCAAAATTTAGGTTCATTGGTGATTAGTGACTTATTTGACTTATTACCAAATAAGGTGGGAATTGTCCCAGTCTTTGCATATGCTTATTAACCATTACTTCACATGAACTGTTTCCAGTCAATGATAATTCATATTCAAATCTCTTCCATGTCCACTAATGAAGATGCATTAATTCTGTACTGTTGTGGACTTTTCCGATTTTACCATTCCCTTGCACCTAGCCGTAAAAAAAAACACAATTTATTCACATTCACATCTCTAACATAATCTGTCTCACTGTAGTGTTTTTTGCTCATCCACTATGTTTTGAATTTTGGTTTGTGCCAACACCAGAATTCAAGGATTTGCAAATCCTGTGACAGATATTCTCAAAGTTGCTTCTATTGTTACAACTTATCATTTTTTTTAAATCGAAGGAAGGAACACTGCTGTCACTTTATGTTCAAAGAAACATCCAATATCAATTCTACTGGATTTGAAATATTTCAAATACCATGCCCTTCTAGCTCCACAGCAGCTTGGGAATTGACTGGGGGAATAGTTCACTCTTCGTTATGATCGTTCAATGCTAAATTTCCCAGCTGATAATAGACATCAAAAATAATGTTGAGTGAAGTATTTAAATATTACGCAATTTTGTTTACTTTTCTAGAATTTTGAGATTATTTGGCTCTTCATACTGCTATGCATCAGTGAGAGGTTACATTTCTTATTGAACATTGTACATTATCATAACCTGCTCAATATTAAGAGTGGCAGGAAGATAAATTTGTGATATTCTAGTTCATTAGTAAAAATAATTTAAGTTAGTACATTCATGATGAAAGCGTTACACTTTCACTTAACAAGAATAAGATGATGCTTTCAATATAAAACTCCAATCTCTTATCATAGCCAAAATTCCTCAACAAGAAGCTCTGTCTCTTTGATAATCAACTCAATTCTTACTTTAAGTGATGCAACTGGAAGCAATTTTCAGAAATTTATAGATCACCATTGCCGTTTTGCTTCATATACATGGATCAGTGAATCTAGTTAGTTACATTTAATATATATTCCATGTTGTGTGTTAGATGGAAAAGGTTCAAGGAAATAACTTAAGGCTTCTGAAGGGGTATACTTTTTTGAATATTGATGAAAAGAGGGACATGTTGTTGGTGAAGCATATTTTCTTGCACTTATTGGGCCAAATATATGAGTGTCAGATTTTAGATCATCATTAGAAATCTGTGATTTTTTGAAATTGTATAACGCAAGACCATAAGAGGCAGAAGTAGGCCAAAACATCTCTCCGTTTTCAGCAATGTTCAAGGCTTATTTTTTGCCTGCCATTTGTTATTTGTGAATGATACAGAGATAATTGCTGAGCATAGCAAGCTATCTTGCGAAGGATCAGGAGAAAGTCATTTATAAATAAACATCTTGTGTTTATGCATAGCATAGCATGTTTGTATAGCATTTTAACCCCATTGTCAGTAGTGTCTTAAACTCGTTCACATCCAGTGAATGACTTTACTTCGTACATAGACAAACATAATAGCTCTCTTGCACAAAGAACAGCAATTAGGTGATAGACTGGTTAATTTTTTATTGTTAACATTTTTTAACCACATGTTGAGGAAGAAATATTGGCAAGGATATTAGGAGACCTTTCTGTTTTTCCTGAAAATTTGTCGTCTTAAATATTCAGCTGAACTGCTAGAATATCAGTTAGAAGGAAATTACCTCAACAATGCAGAATATACTTAACAACCCAGCCTCAACAGCCCTCTGCGATAAAACATCCCACAGCTTGCCATCCTCAGAGCAAGACATTTTTCTCAACTCTCTCAATGTAATTGGTGTTTTCTTACTCTGAAATTATGCCCTCTGGTCCTAAACTCTCCCACAAGGAGAAACAACCTCTCTGCATCCATCCTGTCAAGCTCCCTAAAAATCTTTACGTTTCAGTAAGGTCTCCTTTCATTCTTCAAACCTCAGCGAGTACAATTCCAACCTGCTGAACTCCTTTTTTTTTCATAAGAAAATCCTTTCATGCCTGGAATGAACCTATGAACCTTCTCTGGACTGCCTGCCATAACCAGATATCTTTTCTTCAACAAGGGGACAAAAACTGCTCACAGCATTTCCCCTCTTTGAATAAGGGTGTTTACACTGGCTGTTTTCCAATCCGCTTGGACTTTTCCATAAGACTGTAAGACATAGGAGCAGAAATTAGACCATTCGACCCATCGATCTGCTCCACCATTCAATCATGGCTGATAAGTTCCTCAACCCCATTCTCCCGCTTTCTCCCCGTAACCCTTGATCCCCTTGATAATCAAGAACCTATCTATCTCAGTCTTAAATGTACTCAATGACCTGGCCTCCGCAGCCTTCTGTGGAAGTGAATTCCAAGGATTTATCCATTCTCTGGCTGAAGAAGTTTCTCCTTATCTCCATTCTGATAGGCCTTCGCTTTACTCTAAGGCTGTGCCCTTGGGTCCTAGTCTCTCCTACAAATGAAAACATCTTCCTAACATCCACTCTGTCCAGGCCATTCGGTATTCTGTAAGTTTCAATTAGATCCCCCCTCATCCTTCTAAACTCCAATGAGTACAGTCCCAGAGTCCTCAAACGTTCCTCGTACGTTAAGCTTTTCATTCCTGGGACCATTCTCGTAAACCTCCTCTGAACCCGCTCCAGGGCCAGTACATCCTTCCTGAGATATGGGGCCCAAAACTGCACACAACACTCCAAATGTGACCTGACCAGGGCCTTATAATGCCTCGGGAGTACATCCCTGCTTTTATATTCAAGTCCTCTCAAAATAAATGTCAACATTGCATTTGCCTTCCTGACTACTGACTCAACCTGCAAGTTTACCTTGAGAGAATCCTGGACTAGAACTCCCAAGTCTCTTTGCACTTCAGACTTCTGAATTTTCACCCCATTTAGAAAATAGCCCATGCTTTTATTCTTCTTACCAAAGTGCATGACCTCACATTTTCCCATGTTGTACTCCATCTGCCACTTCTTTGTCCACTCTCCTATCCTGTCCAAATCCTTCTGCAGTCTCCCCGCCTCCTCAATACTACCTGAGGATGGTTGGGAGACACTACACTTGTAGTGTTTCGGGTTTAGCCACTGCCAGAATATATGATTGTACTTAGCCGGCAGTCCCCTTGCGCTCTCCTGACTCCCGCTGCTGAACAAAGGAAGGCCGCAGTCTCACGAGGTAAGTCTTTTAAACTGAAGGCTTACCTTCCCAACTGCCCTCGCACTCTCTCCCGTCTCCCACTGCTGAACCAAGGAACTTTTCCTGGATTCTTTGAAGATTACTACCAATACATCCACTATCTCTGCAGCTACTTCATTGAAAACCTTAGAATGCGGTCCAAGGAATGTATCAGCTTTTAGCCTGAGTTCTGAGGAAGGTCACTGGACCCGAAATATTAACTTTGATTTTTTTTTTTTCTTCACGGATGCTGCCAGACCTGCTGAGCTTTTCCAGCAACTTCTGTTTTTGTTCCTGATTTACAGCATCGGCAGTTCTTTCGGATTTCTTTTCAGCTTTTAGCCTATTAGTTTCCACAGTACTTTTTCTGTAATGATGGTTATTGTGTTTGTTATCTAACCCTCTTTAGCCTATTGATTAAGTATTTTTGGAATGCTATTATTTCCTTTTATCTTATAACGAATAGAAGGAAAATATTAATAAATTGATCATGCTTTAATTGGGAACATATAATTGGGATGATTTGGGAATTTATATGCCAATAGGCATAAGAAATGTAGATGCTAGCAAGTTATTTAATTTAAACTCCAAAATCATAAACCTTCAAATGAAATCAAAGAATGAAAGATTTGCTTGCTTCACAAGTTTATTTATATACATGTGCAGAGGTACAGTTGTACTTACGTGGCACAGTTATTTCAATATTAATTAGCAGTTCTTTAAAAAATGAAACAAAAACAGAAATTGCTGAAAAAACTCAGCAAGTCTGGCAGCATCTGTGGAGAGAAAGTAGAGTTAATGTGTAGGGTTCAGGGTTCATTCAGTATTGTTTTAAAAAATGAACCTGGTAAAGAATAAGGTTGGAAGCTTAGTGGAGAAACTTTGAAAATCTGGATAGAGCTTTCCTCCTAGTTTTTCTTTCATTTTCCAATTCATTTTATTTGTTTATTTTCATCAGCTTTACTGGCATCTTGCACTATATGTATTGGGCCCTCAACAGACATGGACATAAATCAATAATGAAATACCACCTATGAGATCCGGTTGGTGAAGTTTGAATAATATGGATTGCAATGAGGCTGACTTTGAAAGAGAGAGAGAAATTTTATAGAATTTAATGCACTTGAAGTTTTGCGATTAGTCATCTATTTCAGAAAAATAATTCCACCTGGAAGATTTTAAAACAAATGCATATTCAAATTGACATGTGGATAAAAGATAAATTTGTGCATGAAGTTATTTATTCCTCATTCACACCTTCCATATTTATCAAGGTTTAGGAAAAGTGTGCGTAATATTGTAAATTCTTAAAGTGGTGAGCATATGACTAAATATTTGTACTTCGAAATGAGGCAATCACAATTGATTTTATAAAATTAGGCTAGGTCACTGAAATTAAAAGATGAGTATATTTAAAATCAAACTTACTTTTGGGAATATTGTGATGAAGGACTTTTTTTAAAAATTTCCTCGCATGTTTAAAGTGCATGTTGTTGACTAATACCATCTACAGCTCAAGTTATGTCAAACTGCACACTGCACTGTATGCCATGTAGTGAATCTTGTGATTGTAAACCATAATTTGAAAGGGAAACAGACATCTTAAATGCTGTTTGTAATAGTGACACTAATGGAAGCAATTTAAACTGCATCTTCAGTGGAGATAATTGGAGTAACCAGCTGTTGCTTTTACAATAACGTTGCTTTGTCCACCACAGGAGGTGACACAATATTGTAAACTTGGAGGACCCAGATCAAGTACTTCTAAGATACCAAGACTTGACTTTGAATTTCTGTCAAGCATTAATGATCGTCATCAAAACAGAGTTAATTATTGGTGTCAGCTTGTTAATATTATGACATGAAAACTCAAGAGTTGTAACACAGTTATGGGAAGTTATTTGATTATGGAGCAAAGGTGTTAATGGGAAGAAAGGTCTTGTAATAGTCTTTGTCATGAGGGACAAAATATTTGACAAATTAATGAGACTGAAGGCAGACAAGTTGCCAGGATGTGATGGCGTGCAACAAAGATTTTAAGGGCTGCAGAGATAGTGGAGGCATTGGTTGAAATTTCCAGAACTCACTGGATTGAGGCATCCAACAAATTGGAAAACCACTAATGTGACCCCACCTGCTGAAGAAGGGGAGGTAGAAATCAGGAAACTGTCGCCCTGTTGGGCCTAACATCTGTCATTGGGAAAATGCTAAAGTTGTTATTAAGGAAAAATAGCAAGACATTTGGAAAGGTTTAATGCAATTTAACAGAATCAACATGGTTTTGTGAAAGACCATTAATGTTTGACAAATTTGCTAGAGTTCTTTGAGGATATAACAAGCAGAGTTGATAAACGAGAACGGATAGATATAGGTGTGCCTGAATTTCTGGAAGGTGTTTGATAGGTGTCAAACAGAAGGTTATTGCATAAGATGCAAGCTCACAGTATTGAAGATAATATATTACTAGCATGGAGTGAGGTTTGTTTAACACACAGAAGACTGATGGGATTAATGAGCCTCTTTTAGGTCGGGAAGACATAACTAGTGCAGTGATACAAGATCAGTCTGAGGACCTCAATTGTATACTATCTATATTGATGACTTGGAGGAATGGAAGAGTGTAACTTAACCATAATTGCTAATGTTAAAAATAATTGGTGGGTGGGCATATTGTGATGAGGACTCAAGGAATTTGCAAGGGGATACAGATTAGTTGAATGAGTGGGCAAAAATTTGGCAGATGGAGTTTACTGTAGGAAAGTGTGAGGTAATGCGCTTTGGTAGCAAGGATCGAAAGACAAAATATTAATTAAATAGAGAGAGAAGTGTTAAAAAGTGAAAAATGGTTTAGCACAGAGGATATGCGTATTCTTGTGCATACAAAATTTAGCATGCTGTGCAGCAAGTAATTCAGAAGGCAAATGGAATTTTGGCCTTTATTGCCAGGGTGTTGGAGTTTAAAAATGGGTAATTCTTGTTACGACTGTGCAGGTGTTGGCGAGGCCGCACTTGGAGTACTTTGGACAGTTTTGGTCCCCATATTAAAGAAATTAAATGCTGGTGTTGGTAGCAATTCAATAGAGATTCGTTGGGCTGATGCATGGGATATGTGGATTGACTTATCAAGAGCTGCTAAGCAGGTTAGACCTTTATTCTTCAGAGTTTGAAAGAATGAAGGGTGATCTTATTCAAACTTACAAGATTTTGAGGGGGCTTGACAGGGTAGATGTTGAGAAGATGTTTACCTAATGGGGGAATCTCAAACTGACCGACATAGTTATAAAATAAGGAACAATAATTTAAAACAAGTGTGAAGGAATTTCTCCAACGGTCGTGAATGTCTAGAATTATCTATCCCAGAGATCATTAAAAGTATTTTAAAAGGGGTTAGATGGACTTTTGAAATACCGAAGTGTTGAGAGCTATAAAAAGTTGGCATAAAAGAGGAGTTGAGGCCTGGGACCTATCAGCCATGATCTTATTGAATGTTGGGACAGACCTGGGGACAAATGTCCTACCTCTGCTATTTCTTAAGTTCTTAAAATTATTCTAATTCCCATGACTTTTGTGTTCATTAGGTCATAGAGAAATCTTCAATTTGAAGTCTTTAAGTATCATTCACGTTCAGAAAGAGTGCTGCTCTAACCGTGGTCTGTCCCTGAATTTGAAAGACCATATCACAGAAAGAAAATTAACAGCAACAGAAAGGAAATGAAATTATGGTAGAGTAGGCCATACCCAGGGGTGAAAAATGTATTAGTGTTATGTAATTTGAAGGAGACAAACCTCTCTCTTTTCAGCATCCACATTTCTGAAGCAAGCATTTGAAGGAGAATATCCAAAATTGTTGCGATTATATAATGATCTATGGAAACGTTTGCAACAGTATAGCCAAAGTATACAGAATGGTGTAACAACTGGTGGAAATTCAGACTCACCCCCTGAACTACCAGCAGCAGAGGAAGACACACAAGACCTATTTATGTTGAAGAAGCAAGACTATGAGTAAGTTTATTTTAATTCATCATGTCTGTATAACACATGATGTTGCTCCCATTCTGGCCTTTCTCTTGGTCACTGTTTACATCAATCCATCATAGAGAGCCATGCTTTTGGTTGTCCAGGCCCTAAGAGCTGGAATTCCCTCTTTAAAACCTTTACCTTCCTACATTCCTTAAAACATACTTGTTTAATGAAATTTCCCTTTCATAGCATCTCCTTATGCAGAGAGGTATCTTCCTTTGCCTGATAGCAGTCTTGAGAAGCAGCTTACAGTGTTTTATAATGTTAACTTGGCTATCAAATACAAAGAAGGGTCCCCATCAGTAGGCCAGAAAACAGACAGTAATCCCACCTTGACCCTTTGGAGCCCCCACCACCCAGCTGCAACTGGGTGAGTTAGCTGCTGTTGGGGCTCCCATCTCATTTAAATAATGGGAGCACCCCCTGCTCCCAAAATTGTTAGACCTTTGGAGGGCCAGTGATGATTCAACAGTGCTACCTGAAGTAGTGGTTACTGCTGGTACTGCACCCAGCTGAGGACATAGTCAAGGAAAATGTGTGCAGTGACAGGAACAGGCTCTTAACTGATTTCAGATATGGCTTCTGAATGAGGAGGCTGTCTTCACCTTCTCTGCTGCTGCTAAAATGCGATCCCTCACCAGTTTATAAGCTCCGTCCCTGCCTCCCAATCGGTCTGTAAAAGCCTGACAAAATCCACCTGATGTGTATTACGTAAAGATATATTAAGACTTAACTTTTCAGTTAAGCTGAGAAAGGAACCAGAATACGTATTAAGATTGTTTATTATTTTGTGAAATTTAAAGAAATGTTGATATGTGGACTAACATTCTCACAAATCACTTTGGTTTTAATAAGGATTAATGTGGTGGTTGTTGGAATTTAGATTTCAACGACGAACAATTAAATATTATGTTCACCCTTTTATATTAATAATGCAGTCAAAGACAATTATTGCAAGTTCAGTCATGTAATGCTTAAATTGTTGAGTTGAGAAGAAGTTTCTTTGAAATTAGCATTTGATTACTGTGTAGTTGCTGCAATAAAAATGGAGCATGCAACGTAAGTATCTTCAAAGTAGAGCAAGTGTCTGTTTCAATATATTCGAAGAATGTAATTGCCATAATTATATTTATTAATATGCTAAGTTATAACAATCTCAAATTTCCTTAGCCCTGAGAAGGCCCTGAAAGATTCTCTTCAATTCTATGAGTCTGCTTATCTCTCAAAATCATTATCAAGACTGTTTGATCCAATCAACCTTGTATTTCCTCCTGGAGGACGCAATCCACCTTCAAATGATGAGCTTGATAGCATCATTAAAACTGTTGCAAGGTAGGTTTTGATGCAAAGGAAAAGGTGCACCAGCTAATTAACTGTCATTTTTTTGTTTGATAACACTTACAGAATGCTTTGAGACATTTTATTACATTAAAGGCACTTTATAAGTGCAAGTTGCAGTTATTTTACTTGAGGGCAGCTATTATAAAATTCAGTTGAAATCCTTTTAGCAATTGGTTTTGACTGATTAGCATGAAAATATTGAAAGGGTAAACTGATTAATGTGCTATTGATTACAATAAAATATAAAATATGTTCTGCATAACAAAGTTTGATAGGATTTGCTAATTATGCAAGCATTTCCCCCTATTTCCATTGGATTTTATGATTGATGCTTGCTAGTCATTTGTTTCTTGAAGTCATTTTCTTTTGGAAACAAATCATTAAAAATAGATCAGAATTCATTGGCCAAATGCCCAGTCAGAATGGAGCATAATGAGCTTATTTCTCTGTGCCTTTAGAGTCCATTGAAATTGAATTTACAATTACCTGAAACATTATTTCATTATAAATAAATGCTTGTTTCCTACTACAGCCACTCTGTTAAAGTGAAATGTGAAACACAACAGCAAGAAATGGGTGTTTTTTTTCAAAAACATCCCTGCAAGTTTTAAATTATCCAATATATCAGGCATTCATAGCAGCTTGTAAAAGGACAAATTACACCATTTTTTTCACTCCCTCAGTTCTAGTGAAATTCAAATTGACTTTTTAAAACTAGCTTCCTGTGACATTCACACAGAAATGGAAATGTTCAGAGCATACCTTATCGAAAGAAACTCATTTGTTGAGTAAAAGTTGACAAATACACCTGACAAGAATTTCTGTTTTTGTCATTACCTCAATATTTTCTTCGGGAGACATTGACGTTTTGCTGGCTCTTGATTTCTGGGTCCTATTTAAGACCCAGGTGCTCTCCTAAGGATTATTATTTATTTCAGAGGCTAGTAATATATAATATTCAACTTAGCTGGAAACTAGTGGTTGGGGTCGCTGAAGCATCCCAGCTGAGGCCAATCTTGTTTTCAGCCCTGGTCTTTGTGCAATTTTCATAGGGGCCTATGAATAGCCGGCATACATCCGCACACTGGAAGGTCTTTCCTCTTCAAACCATGGGAAGGCCAATTGTAATGTCCTTTTTGCAATTAACCTCACCAACTCAGTACAGGGGAAAGAATCTTGCATTTTATTGTGCAAGGTGAGCTAGAGATAGGCTAGCTACCACTTGTGAAGCTGCCAAGAATATGGATATTCTGTCATATGTAAGTTAACAAAGATTGTGTTCGAAAACATACTTTTTAAAGACAACATAAACAGTCGAGAGCTTCTGATGTGACATCTTTTAATCTGTAATTCAAACTCCACATAGATTTGGAACAACTTTTCATGGATTCTTCTTCATGCTTTCAGTGAATTTAATGTGGCCTCTGTGGATCCAAACTTGAGTCTGGCTGTTGCAAGGAATGTTGCTAAAACCATCCAGTTATTTGGAGTAAAATCTGAACAACTTGTAAGTATTGTATACCTCGGTTACTAGAGTTAGTAATATATTAGGAAGAAAAGGAGAGTATACGGTTTTTCTGAACACACATTAACCTTGATTTTTTTGACTTGCATACAGATTCTGAAGTCCACATTTTTTTTTTTTACCTTATTTTTAGTCATTTTCAGCATGGAATAATGCTTCATTTTTGATAATGAAATCTGATTTACTGGGATAAATTTCTTTCTACCATGAAGAGCCTGTTGTGGAGTAGTTGTTTAAAGAGGACAAATTAAGCAACAACATAGAGGTCATTGCTGACAATTTTGTATTTGTAGCATTGATTTCATTCACATGACTCAACAACTGCAAATTACTTTTTTTCTCTTTGGATTTCTGTTTCCTCTATTAAGTCACTGTATAGTTAGACTAAATATGTTAGAATTTGGTTTTCTTAGATCTATAGAATGCATTTTATTGATCTCTAATAAGGCTGAGTATGGAAATAATTTACATTTTCAGTTGAGATGGATTGTAAGCTCTGTAAAGTGTTATTTCATTCAATGGTAAATACATTGGGACACTGAGACAATTTGTTCACCAATGGCTCTTTTGTGCTTTAACTTGTTCCACTGCATTGTTATCTTAATAAATAAATCATCATATTGTTGCAATTTTCATTTTTATTATTGAACTTTTCCCTTAGTAATCCATGATTTTGGTTAGATTAATGTTACAAATACTTATTGAATATGACCAAGAATTTTATAAGTGGCGGTACCTAATTTGTATTTTATTTATAGAGAAAGATTCCAAATTTATCTGATGTAATTTGGTAATGTATATATCTTGGTAGTCCAGTTGACATTCTAACACAATAAACAGAATGACTTTTCTGATAAGATTCAAACCCGATTAAAAGATTGAAGATTGTACTACATGTTTGGCAGTGATAATCCCAAGTCATATTTTAGTTACAGCCACAAACAAAGCCAGTCTACGTTTATTAATCACTTGAAGATTTAAGCAGAATATGAACTTCACTGGTTTCAGTCTGTGAATGTCAACTTCTTACGTCATTACCTTATCCATAAAATAGAATTTAATAGAATATCAAGGTGAATTATCTTGTTGCACAATGCTAGTGTCTCTATTTCTGGGTGAGAAGGCCTGGGTTCAAATCCCACCTGCTTTAGATGTGTGTAATAACACCCCAGTGAGTCAATACAAGGACCAATATAAAGCAGATTTTGTTTATATGATGTCCCAATCACAGCCTTACAAGTCTGCCTTATTAGTATCCATTCTGTGTTTTCTATTTGCCAACCTAAAGCAAACTCTGAAAGGCTAATTTTAATTATTAGATTAACCACTGAAAGTAATTATATCTGTGTCTCTCACAATCTTTGTTTTGTACAAGTCTTCAGTTAACTAACACATCTGGTTACAAAAATATTACAACAAGTCTTGTTAGCCTGTTTTTTTTTAGAAAGTACTATGAACACACTAAGATCATTAACAGTTAATGATTTCATGGATCAGACTCTATTTGGATTAGGATTGTAAATGAATTTGTGCATGGGTAAATTTGGAGCAAAATGTATTCAGTGCTAAGTCTTGATTCATAAATAAAACTTGTACAACATACAGTACGTGATACTAAAAACCTGTTCTATAATCAATAACATTTGACTCTGATTTTGATTTCTCATTTTATTGCATAATAATGGATTTGAAATGTATATGTAATGTCACTATTAGAAGGATGCTTTAATGGCCAGCATTAAACTGTCAGTTCAATCTTCCTTGGAACAGACATCAAATTATTCTTTCTGCCCCGCTTAAGTATTGATGAAATCTTTAAATGAAAATAAAAATGCTGGAAATACTCAATATGTCAGACAATATCTGTGGAAAGAAACTGAATTAGTGTTTTAAGTTGCAATGAGCTTTCATCAAAATGACTTGTTCTCTTTCAGGTTTTCAGCATCCACAGTATTCTGGTTTTGTGCTGAAGAAATTTGTCCAAGTTTATTTTGGTTCTGAGCTGATGAGATCCTCAAGCTTGCTGTAAAATTTCTGTAATTCTCCCATTGGGCTAGACCACATGTGAACACTTACTGGTGTAGAAGCAGCATAGTCATATGGGGAACAATAGCATAAAGATACTTGCTAAATTAATAATCCAGAGGCCAGACTAATACATCAGAGACACAAGTATGGAACCCACAATGGTGAAATTTAAATTAACACTAACAAATCTGGCATAAAATGCTAGTCTCTGTAGTGGTGACTATTACATGATCACACTGTTATTCACTAATCTCCTTTACAGGAAGGAAAATCTGCTATTCTTAATATGTGACTGCACACCCACAATGGTTGACTCTTTTGCATCTCCTGAAGTAACCTGGCAAGGCACTCAGTTGTGCCAAACCACTACTAACAGAGATGGCCAAGGCCGAAAGAACATATCTACCAGACTGGTGTGTGGCAGGTGGTTGAGAAAAAAACAAAAGTGGGGGAAAAAGCTGCTTACTTTTGCCTTGTTAATCTACCTGTTGCAGATGCAGCTGTCTATGATAGCATTTGTAGACATGATCACTGCACAGTTCTTATGGTGACTATCTCCTAGCTTCACATTGAGCATTATCACCATTGTGCTATGTGTGCTAACTTGGATAGATTCAGAACAGATCTACAAAGAACAAGAGAAGTACGGCACGGAAACAGACCTTTGGCTCCCCAAGCCTGTGTCGATTATCGTGCCCTCACTAAACTAAAAAAACAAACCTTCTGCCCTTATTCGGTCCATATCCCTCTGTTCCCTCCCTATTCCTGTAACCATCCAGATGCCTCTTAAATGTTGCCAACATGCCTACTTCCACCACCTTCTCTGGCAGTGTATTCTTGGCTTCTACCACACTCTGTGTGAAAAACTTTCCTTGCACATCTCCCTTAAACTTTTGCCCTCTCACCTTGAACCTGTGTCCCCTTGTAATTGAAACTTCACCCCTGGGATAAAGCCTCTGACTATCCACCCTATCTATGCCTCTCATAATTTTGTAGACCTCTATCAGGTCTCCTCTCAGCCAACGTCTTTCCTGTGAAAACAATCCTAGTCTTTTTAACCTTTCCTCATAGCCAATGCCCTTGAAACCGGGCAACATCCTGGTGAACCTTCTCTGCATTCTCACTAAAGCTTCCATGTCCTTCTGGTAGTGTGGTGACCGAAACTGCACATGATACTCCAAATGCGGCCTAACAAGGGTTTTATATACATGCAACCTGTTTTACCAACTCTTGTACTCCACGCACCAGCCAATGAAGGCAAGCATGCCAGATGCCGCCTTAATCACTTTGGCCACCTTTGTTGCCACTTTTAGGGAACTGTGGACCTGCATACTACAAATCCATCTGTTTTAACCTGTTTTACTTCTTGCATTAAAGTAAATGAACTTCAGACTTCCAGTCCCTCTGAAGCCCTGCAACTTCCCTCAGCCTGCTCTTACTTTACGCAATGCATATCTCGGTCTCTCTTTTGTCCCAAGTCCCTGCACCTACTGGCCTGTTGTTCAGATCATAACATACAAGAACGTACAGATCATAGGGTGTTTAGCCAGAGCGAGGCATATAAGGATACGGCTGCACAGGAGATGCACGAAAGCAAGATAAACGTTAGATTTGAAATTGGAGAAGTCTATTCAGCAGTCTAATAACAGCAGGGAAGGTGCTGTTCTTGAACCTATTGTTACATCTGTTTAAGCTTCTGTGTTTCTGCCCAACGGAAGAGTTTGGAAGAGAGTATTACCAGGGCGGCAGAGGTCTTTGATGATGTTGGTAGCCTTTCTATGGCAATGAGAAGTGTAGATGGAGTCCATACATGGGAGGTTAGCTTTCGTGTCGGTCTGGGCTATGTATGCCATTTTGTCTCGTTTATTATGGTCCTGGGCAGAGTAGGTGATGTACTAAGCCATTTTGTGCCCAGATAGAATGCTTTCTGTGGCGCATCTGTAAAGGTTAGTGAGGTCCCTTATGAATATGCTGAATTTCCTAAGCCTCCTGAGGAAGAAGAGGTGTTGTTGTGACTTCTTGACCATTGCATCTATATGGGAGATCCAGGACAGATTGTTGGTTATGTCACTCTTAGGAACTTGACGCTATCGACCCTCTCCACCTCAGCTCCAATGATGTAGATAGGGGCATGTCATCCTTCTTTCTTCCTGAAGTCAATGATCAGTTCTTTTGTTTTGCTGATATTGAGAGAGAGATTGTTATCATTGCATCCGACACCAACACTCATCTCCTTCCTGTATTCTGATGCATCAATTGATAACACAAGTGTGAACAACATCTGACATGTCATACTGTCATACTCTTTTCTGCTTCATTTTACTGCATCCTTTTGACATCCAGGAAACTGACTTTGTTTCTCCTATCTTCCCCCTTTGTGGTTGCTAATGTACTTGAACTGTTTCTTCTTTAAAGACAGCTCATTGTTCAGTTAGCTTTACCTGCCAACGCTTGATTCCAATTTGCCGGATTCTCACCCCAATGAAATTCCCCCAATTAATTACTTTTACTCTGGAATGCTGCTTATCGTTTTTCATTGCTAATAGGATACCTTGGGACAGTGATCACAGTCCACTAAATGTTCCCCTACATCCATTCTGTGTACCTAATGGATATCTTTTAATAGTAAAAATAAGGTGGATGTTGAGGAAATGTATCCACTTGTGGCTGAGTCTAATGCTAGAAGTTGTTATTGACTTAATTGGGAAGAGTGTGCAGATAATCCAGCCCCACTATTCCACAAACCATCATAAATGTGAAAAAAAAATCACAACTGAATCACCAAGGTGATAGAATTTATTTTACTGTTAAGTCAAAAGTAATTTGCACTAGGTATTGTCATTAACAGGAAGATAACTCTTTTTATTGTAAGAAAATCTATTTAACAAATGGCAGAGAAAAAAATCACTGATCTACCATTATGTGACTTAAATTATATCCCTTTAAAATCCTAAGCACGCAAATTCGTTCACACATGAGATGGACAAAAGATAGATAGTTTGATACAAATATTACAGGTGAAAAATATTCTGCAGATCAGAAGTCCAGACTGCAAAAGAGCGAGTTACTTCTCTCTATTCTTTGTTTTTAGTAATTACAACATATTGTCTGCTAAGTGAAAGTTGTTCTTTGATTAGATAGCTGATCAAGTGGGCATAGGTCTTTTCTTGTATCAGAATTCTTTGTTTTTGGGTCTTTAGGTTTTCTGTTTTTTCACTTGAACAGGGAGATGTTTTCTGCCTTCTGGATATCTTTGGCTGAAGTGCACATACAGATCTGTATCAAATTTCTGTGATTATAGACTCCTGCTGGACCAATCTGAAGGCTGTTGTCAGGCAGTTCCTTCTAAGCTCAAAGCTTCCTGGTGTCTCTGTGTTTCACAATGTAGTAACTTCATTATTCTAAAAGCACTTTTATTTTGTGCAGCTAAAAATGTGTGCCACACAATCCTACTTGGTTTTCAAGTTACAAAACTCTCCTGGTATTTTAACCATGTAGCAATGTTCAAATTCCATTCCCAATTTATTGTGCAAAAGCAACGATTTGTGATCCTTTATAAAGTCAAGTATAACATAGTAATGAATTTAATGGGAATTTTGAGAGAAATGTTTGCAGAGTGGTAAGAATGTGGAATGTGTTACTGAAAAGGATAGCTGGCATTAGTGGCAGAAATCCATCTTGAGGGAGAAAAAAATTGAGTGGCTATTTTTGTATTTTTAAGTATTTAAAAGTGCTGAGAGGATGCCTCAAACTTTGAGAGCTTACTCTCACTGCCCTAATGAGAATGTGAATGTATCTTCCTTTCGATAATTAGTCAATGCAGCAAAAGTCATTATTGGATTGTTGCTGCCAACATGTTTCAGGGTTGAGACCTGTATTTGATGCCTATGTTGGCATGTCAACCCATAATGGAAAATCGTGCCCATATTTCCTATTTATTTCCTGCTGTGTAAGATGCCCAAGTTAATGTGACTGCAACTCCACTCTCACATTCATTTAACCTGGGTGTTTAATTTTCCTGGTTTCCATATTCATACTTCAACAGCAACATACAATATATTTGCATAGGACTTCTATGGAAGATAAGGTATGCAAGGCAATTTGCAAGTTGGTAATTGATTTAGACGTTGAGTAGAAAACAAGAGGAGTTGGGTTATCATCAATCACACAGAATGTGAGGAGTCTTTTGAAAGTACCATGAATGTAACAAGGCTATGAGGTTTAAGGAGAGAATCTTAGTAACCAGGAACACAATGGCTAAAGGTTTTTTTGATGGGAACAGAGGGGAAAATTAAACTTGTGAGGCAGAGGATGATGTAGTCATATTTGATGACAATAAAAGTGCGAATGAGGATTTCAGGCAGTGAGAATAAGGTAGTTATGGAGGAAGGTAATTGAATTCAAATAGGCTGTCTTGTGATGCACTATATGTTAAGATTTATCAGTCACATAGTATACTCGATCTGCCTGGTCAAACTCAGCTGAAGTGAAGAGTGGGAAGCACGTTGAACAAAACCTGTGATCTAAGTTGATGAAAACCAAACAGTCTTGTCCAGTTAGAAGAGTTAAGAAACATTGTTATACCTAATTTAGACAATTTTAAAATTTATTTTTGCAGTTGTCCACACAGGGCGATGCTAGTCAAGTGATTGGGCCACTGACTGAGGGACAGAGAAGGAATGTAGCAGTGGTGAATTCATTGTACAAATTGAATCAGTTAATGTTGAAGGTAAGAGTTGAATTTATTACTGAATGTCTGTGGAAAAGAATGAATGGTATAATGTCAGCCATATTGTTGTACCCATACAATAAATTTGATTGAATTTTCCATCCTGCAACTTGAGTATTTTTTCACTTCTTTACCTTGATCTGGAGTAATTTTGAGAAATAATTTGAAGTGAAAGCTTCAATTTAGCCAAAAGGGCTGAATTTTCACCTGGAGCAGTTTCACTATAGAATTGCACTATGCTGGGATTTTCTCCTGATATAACACCGTATAGATTCCAAGTCAAAATTCCAAGTTTAAAAAGTGCTAGATACGCTCTAACTGGTATTGCTGTAGCACAGACAGAACCCACTCTTGCTGTGGAATGAAATGAGACAGAACCAGGAATTGATGATACTTCATTAAAGGGATTAAAAAAAGCATACAAAGTATTCTTCTATATTTTTGTTCCATGACATCTTCATGACTAGGTGTGATGTCAGAAAACAGAGAGATGGCCAGTGTTGGACCCTGTCTCTCAGAACGATTGTCAGTGGCTTTCCTATTGAAACCCTAGAATGTATCACCACATCTGTTCTCTTAGTAATTAGGGTTGACAGATTTCACGCAAAGAAATAATGCAGTTTACCAGACCTTGCTGCTGTTTAAACATGGAAAGGTTGTTAAAGCTTGGCCATTGTTCCCTGCCTTGCGGTGAGGTTGGGCTGGTGAGTATAGGTGTGAAAAGATTTCTGGTACAAGATTTCAGTGGGGGGTGGGGATGTAGTTTTGGTAGAACATTATAATTAATTTATTTGTTCTGACACTTTTTTACCAAACTGATTTATTAAAGCCTAACACCCTAAGCCTGCTTTTAACTGCAGTGCAACAGGCAAAAGCTCAATAATTAGTAAACTTGATCATGGTCATTTTTTCCCCATTAGTTTATCCTCCACAGAACATACGATACAGCCTTCAAAAGGAAGGAAGATAACAGTATCCATTTAAGAACTCTCCTCATTGTAGTCCAGGAACCTGTGATCTTTGTTTCCTGCCTTCATAACATGATTGTAATCTTAGTCAAAGTTTCATCTAACTTTATTATTGTTGACACATTTGGAATATTCAGTGCAGTTTTGGGAATTCTGTTCTTAAAAATATATTCGATAAGGTGCAGAATAAAGTTACTGAGTTCATAAACTTGAGTTTCTAAGTGACAGGAAATAAGATGAGGAGGCAGTCCTTTTCATTAGTGAAAGGGGAATTGAGAGGGGATGTGTTCAAAACGACCACACCGAGTATTACATATCTATTGCTTGCTTTTCCAGGTACTATCTACATTGAGCTCTTTACCTTCAGCTGCTGAACAAACAATTAGAACGGCTTTGGAGGTAAATTGCATGCTCTTTTTGACTATTGGATTACTGTGTCTTTTATATTCATGATCACGAATAGAAGGATTACAACACTGTTTTTGGTTTTTCCTTCGGGCTTTTTTTGTTTGAATGGAAAGATCAAATCTGGAATTTACACCTTTCATTTTTGAAATCTCATTTACACAGTTCATCTGGGATTATTGCTGATCTTCCACCATACCTACAGTAGCCAATTGGAAGAGTCTCTATCCAAGGACATTCCAAGAGCAAATGTCATTGTCATCCTTTCCAAAGTGAGAAACATTGCATGGACAGTTGCAATGTATATCTCATCCACCTGATTCAATAATGTATCCTAACAGCCATCGTCAGGAATACACTTCTGATGTATCATAGTATGAAATAGCACAACAACTTTTGGCAGCTTCTTGCTGGAGTTATTCTACTAATTTCAATTCTCAGTTTTTTCTTCATACCTCTGCGAATTTCTCCTTTCAAGCATTTATCCATTTCCTTTGTGGATGTTAATACTGAATCTGATTTCACCAACCCTTTCAGACAGCTTTTAAAAAATTTTGCAACATAGAGTCATAGAGCTGTACAGTATGGAAACAGACCCATCAGTCCAACTTGTCCATGCCGACCAGATATCCAAAATGAATCTAGTCCTATTTGCTGGCATTTAGCCCATATCCCTCTACACCCTTCCTATTCATATACCCATCCAGATGCCTTTTAAATGTTGTAATTGTACCCGCCTTCACCACTTTCCCTGGCAGTTTATTCCATAAATGCACCACCTTCTGCATGAGAAAGTTGCCCCTTAGGTCCCTTTTAAATCATTCCTCTCTCACCTTGAACCTGTGTCCTCTAGTTTTGGACTCCCCTACCCTGGGGAAAAGATCTTGGCAATTCACCCTATCCATGTCTCTCATGATTTTATAAACTTCTACAAGATCATCCCTCAGCCTCCAATACTCCAGGGAAAATAGCCCCAGCCTATTCAGCCTCTCCCTATAGCTCAAACCCTCCAACCCTGGCAATATCCTGGTAAATCTTTACTTAACCCCTTCAGATTTCACAACGTCCTTCCTATAGCAGGCACTTCTGGATCTTTTTTCAATCACTTTAAAAGGCAACCACTGGTTACCAATCTTTCTGCCATTGGAAATAAATTATTTTTATTTACTCATAACAAGACCGTTCATGATTTTGAATACCTTTTGTAAACTTTCCTTTGAATTTCCTTTAAGGAAAACAGCCTCAACTTCTCAGAACCTTCACAAAACTGTGTTAAATATCAACTGTCATGTGTCTGCCTGTTTCGCAAGCCTGTCTATACTGTGCTGAATTCTATCACTATCTTCTATATTGTTAACTGCATTTTGGAATTATATCCTGTATATTGAAGTCACCAAGTTATATGAAAAGAGCAATGGTCCAAATATCGACCCTGTGGAATACCACTGTAAACTATAAAAATTAGCATCACCACTTCTGTTTTCTGTGCATCAGCCATGTATCATAGTGCCACTATCCCTTCAATCTCATAGATTTTATGAAGAACTTAATGAAGGCAAAAAAAAAATTTTCCTTCATCAAATTCATTCTTTCGCTTATTAGTTCATACTTCCCCAAAAGCCAGATAATTTTGCCCAAATTATTGTCTCAAACCATATTCTCACCACTGATGGTGCACTAACTGTTCTGCCATTTGTTACGTTTATCTATTTTTTAAACAAGAATATGACATTTATGGTCATCCAGACTCCCCTAAAGCAGCATGAATGTTTTCACTCCTGGCCTAAGTCAACTTTTTTTGCGATCTCTCCACGAACGTGCCAGTTTGTGCCTATTTGTGCTGAATCTTATGCAGTTTTAGACTATGAGAAACAGTTATCATTATCCAAATTATTTGTCATACAAATAAGAAGCAGATGTAGATGATTTGGCCCCTCTGCCATTCAATTTGATCATTGCTGATCTGATTATAACCTCAAATATGCATTCCCAAATACCCCTGATTACCTTTCATCCTCTTGCTCAGTAAGAATATCTCGGCTTCTGTTTTGAGCTTAAAGATATTCAAGGGCTTTGCTCCTACCACCTTTTCAACAAGATTTCCAAAGACTTGTGATCCTTTGAGAGAACAGTACACTTTATGTGTTTTAAATGTGCGATCTCTGATTTTAAAGACCCCCAGTTCTTCATTCTGCTATAACAGAAAATATGCTTTGCACATCTACCCTGTCCAAACTCCTTAGGATCTTGTATGTTTCCTCAGGATCTTCTGTTTCAATCCAGATATAAGTCTAGCCTGACCAACTTTTCCCCTTAACATAACCCACTCATTTCAAGTATTGGTCTGGTAACCTTTCAACTGTTTGCCATACATTTACAGCCTTCCTTCAATTAAGTGACCAATACTGAGCATAATCTCACTCATTTTCTCTGACTCCTCGCATAACTTCCCTCCTTTTTCCTTGAGTGGGCCAACCCTTTCTCTAGTTACCCTCTTGCTCCTTATGTACGAATAAAAGGCTTTGGGACCCTGTTTGCTAAAGATATTTCATGACCCCTTTTAACCCTCTTAATTCCTCGTTTCAGATTGGTCCTACTTTCCCGATATTCTTCCAAAGCTTCATTTGTTTTCAGTTGCCTAGACCTTATGTATGCTTCCTTTTTCCTCTTTGCTAGTCTCACAATTGCACCTGTCTTCCACGGTTCCCTAATCTTGCCCTTTCTATCCCTCATTTTCACAGGGACATCTGTCCTGCACTCTAATCAACCTCTCTTTAAAAGCCTCCCACATATCAAATGTGGATTTACCCTCAAACAGCTGCTCCCAATCCACATTCCGAAGCTCCTGCCAAATTTTGCTATAGTTGGCCTTCCCCCAATTCAGCACTCTTCTTGTAGGACCACTCTCATCTTTGTCCATCAGTATTCTAAAACTTACGGAATTGTAATCAAAGTAATCCCCTACTGAAACTTCAACCACTTGGCCGGGCTCATTCCCCAACGCCAGGTCCAGTATGGCCCCTTCCCGAGTTGGACTGTATTAACAATCCTAACTATTTTTGTGTCATCAGCAAATTTGGCAACATGTTCGGCTCCCTTGATCCGAGTCATTTATATAAGTTGTAAGCAGTTGACATCCTATCACCAACCCCAGTTGCACACGATTTGTTACATCTTGCCAACCTAGAAAAGACCCATTTACGCCAACTCTTTGCTTTCTGTTAGCCAGCCAATTTTCCATTCATGACAATATGCTTCCCATACACCGTGAGCTTTTATTTTCTGTGGTAACCTTTTATATGGTGCTTTATCAAATGCCTTCTAGAAATCTAGATACAGTATATCTGTCATTTATCCACAGCACATGTTACTTCTTCAAAGAACTCTAATAGATTGCTTAAACATGATTTCTCTTTCACAAAACAATGCTGCCTGCCTGATGAGCTTAAACTAATCTTAGTGGCCTGCTATGACTTTTTAATAATAGCTTCTAACGTTTTCCCTAAGACAGTTATTGAGCTAACTGGTCTGCAGTTTCCTAATTTCTGACTCGCTCCTTTTTTGACATAAGGAGTTAAATTTGCTCTCTTGCAATCAAATGTAATTTTGCCCAAACAAAGGGAGTTCTGGAAAATTCAGATCAAAACATTATCAATCTCAATAGCTACTACTTTTTGGATGAAGTCCATTAGTACCTGGGTACTTGTCCACCTGTAGCCTCAAAAATTTACTCGGTCTTTGAAAATTTCTAGTTTTAAGCTCGATATTATCTTTAATCTTTCCAGTTAACTATGGATAGTCGGTCCACCTCACAGAATTTATCTTACATTTTTTGCAATGTATCCATGTTTTCTATTCTCAAATATCCTCCTAAATTTCCACAACTGCATTTCTGTTGATATTTCCTTTAACCTAATTTGCCATTCACTTTAACCAGCTCTGCTTTAATGCACTTATAATTGTTTACTTAAAATAAAATCGTGAGGCCTCCTCATTGAATGTTTTAAAGTTAAGATAGATAATTTTTTTGAATAGTAAAGGAATTAAGGGTTATGGTGAGAAGGTGAGTAAGTGGAACTGAGGTCTTGAAAGGATCAGCCATGATCTTACTGAATGGCGGAGCAAGCTCAAAAGGCCAGATGGCCTACTTCTGCTCCTGGTTCTTATGTTGTTATGTTCTTATTTTCTTACTCCCCTCTCCCTGAAGCTAAAAATAAAATTTGATCATATTATGGTCGCTGCTACTGAAAATATCTTTGTGTCAAATTTAAGAAAAATCATAGTCTTACAATGATTAAAGGCTACTTAGCACATTGTTAATATCAAATTTCAATTTTAATATCTTTGTTTCACTTTAGACAATTCAAGCTCTCATGGGAAGTGCAGTCCAGCCATTACTAAATTCTGTGGAAGACTCAGTTGAGGCCATTATTATCACGATGCACCAAGAAGACTTTGTTGGGTAATTATTAAAAGCAAGTTCAGAGTAACCCAAAGCAGAGTGTCTTCATTGTAAATCTGTTTTGAATTTGACAATGTACTTTAAATAAAGGAAAAATTAAAATATTAATAGAATTTAGGTGAGCTTGCCCATTGTTTGCTCCTGGAAGGATAGTTTAAATATGATTTATATACATTTGTACAGGTCTTCATCTGGGAAGCCAGAGGTCCCATGTTCTCTTTACATGAAAGAATTGCAAGGCTTTATATCACGTATCATGACTGACTACTTTAAAAACTTTGAGTGCGTGGACTTCATCTATGACAATACAGAAAATATTGCACAGAGGGCGATTCAGCTATTTATCCGTAATGCAAGTCTATTGAAATCATTGGGTGAAGGAGGTAAAATGAGATTAGCTGCAGATTTTGCACAGGTAAGAACGAATAACATGTATTACTTTCTTCTTTGTCTCTGTCTCTGTTGATTTTATTTTACGATTCCAAAGTACAAATTTAGTGCTGCACAATAGAATGCAAGATTAAAAATACTAAATTATACTACATGGAGAAGCACTTGCAGTAGTACAAAATGAACAAACTAAGAATTCCCAAATCTGTATCTTGATAGACAAAATTATTTAGTGAGACCGTGTTCTTTATGAAAATTAAATCAACTAATGTCCTAAATTCATGAATTTTTAGAATTTCACTTGGTTTAGATAGTATCAGAGCTTTGTCTGTGTGACAATTGATCAAGTTTTTGTTGATATTATGCATTTAATCTACAATCTTAGCCGTTTTTCCTTTTCTCTGTATCCTGATCTTTGCTGGCTCCAGACATTGATTTTCTCTCAGATCTTCTTGACGCTCTCCATTCCCCATGCCAAAAGGCCAGCCCACCTAATAGTTAGCTAGGCTCTTAATCTGGCTGACTGCAGCTGAGGAATTGAGAACAAAGATGGTAATCACGTCCTGCCATTAAATCTAGAAGGATTGGTGCACAACCCATTAGTCTGAATTTCCCAACCTCGAACCTGCACTTGATACTGCCTCTCAATTAATATTTAGTCTATAATTTTGTCTTTTTTGGATATATAGCAGTGATATTGATGCGAAGGATAGAAAAGCAGAATTCTTTTTATGGACATCAAACTTGATGTTCAGAGGTACGTGGGTTTACTGATGCAGTAAACATAAAATGTTAATGTGCAGATGTTGCAAGTAATTAGGAAGGCAAATGGCATGTTGGCCTATACTGCAAAGGGACTGAAGTTTGGTGAGTGCAGTCTTGGTATTCATATATAAGGAACATGCTTGCCTTGGAGGCAGTATAGCGATAGTTCACTAGGTTGTTTTCTTAAATGAGATCTATGAGTAAATTAAATCCCTACTCATTGGAGTTTGCAAGAATGAAAGGCGATCTCACTGAAACATGCAACCTTTTGAAAGAGCTTGGTTTTCTTGAAGCTCATTTATAGCGAACACATTTGTTGCTCATCCCTGGCTATGGATTCTAGAACACAGGGCACAGCCTCAGAATAAGGGGTCAGTTATTTAGGATAGAGATGAAGAGAAATTTCTTACATGTGAATCTTTGGAATGCTAAGAGAATGGTGGATGCTTCATCGTTGAGTCTTGCATTTAAAGGTGAGATTTTTTGATCTCTCAGGGAATTGAGCTGTGGGGAATGGAAAGGAAAATGAAATCAATTCAGGCGCTCAACCGTGATTGTACTGAATGGCCGAGCAGGCTTAAGTCGCGAGCTATATGATCCAAGTTGCTCTTATTTATTATTCTTGTTAAGGTTGAGTAATATTAAGTGTGACAAGACAGATTTAGTTTAGATCTTAAATATTTATTGACATATCACTTTTGCTGGCATGATAATAGTAGCTTCCATTTTTTATATAATGACATTTACTTACTCATCATACAATAGCACAATACATGCTTTTGTGTATTCTATATTTGTCAGTTACTGTGTAAACATCATAATTGTATTGACAGGAAGTAAGAACTGCAGACGCTGGAGTCAGAGATAACACAGTGTGGAGCTGGAGGAACATAGCAGGCCAGGCAGCATCAGAGGAGCAGGAAAGCTGACGTTTCAGGTCAGGACCTTCTTCAGAAATTTCTGAAGCATTTCTGAAGAAGGTCCTGACCCGAAACATCAACTTGCACACTCCCCTGAAACCGCACAGACGCCTGTGTATTGAAGTGAGATTCCATACAACAGTTGGATGTTCTGCTTAAATTTATTAAATATTTGTATCCAATTCACTTTTTGTGTAAAATGATTACATTACCTGATTTTTTTTTTTAAAGTTCAAAGGAATAAGAAAATCGTGCTTAAAAACTGGTTTTATGATGTATATGTTTGGTTAGAACTTGTACATTGTCTTGCAATCTTACAGATGGAATTAGCGGTGGCACCTCTTTGTAGAAGAGTGTCAGATCTTGGAAAATCCTATCGATTACTGAGATCATTCAGGTCAGTCTAATTCTAATCAAACTGGGTTTCAAGGGAATATTTATAATCTGAATAGATACCTTTTTATTTCTAATTGAAGTAATATGTAATAACTTTGTGTTTTTCATACGTTATCCAGATGTCATAAATATGCTTTCTTGTAATGTTCACAACTGATTTATTATTGTCAGAACATTGTGTGAAAAGCAATGAATGCATTTAATAATGATAGTGATGGTGATTTAATAGGGTTTTTCCACAGAATGTTATATACGAGGTGCCAACATCACAGGTAATTCCTAGTTTTTTCTTTGATAATTATGTATTTCAAAATAAGAGCACAAATCTGATGTGTTTCCGTGAGCTGACACCGAGGCAGTTGTTTCTTGAAACATAAAATGGTTATAGTGCAGAAAGAGATAATGCAGTCTGTCATGTCTGTGCTGGTTCCCTGTAACAACTAGACCCACTCCCCTTTCTTTTCACTGTTGTACGACATTTTTCTTCACATTTTGGATAATTATCCAATTGTTTCTTGAAATCCACAATTGAATCTGCTTCCACCACACACTCTGCCAGTGCATTCTGCACATTACTACTCACAATTTTAAACAAAAGATTTTCCTCACATCTCCTCTGGTTATTTTGTCTATCATCTCGGTGTTATCAATTCTCGAAGTGGGAAATGTTTCTGTCTATCCAGAGCCTTCACAATTTTGAATATCTCTGTCAAATTTCCTTTCTACCGTCTGTTCTGAACATGCCCAGCTTTGCCATTCTGTCGCCATCATTTAAGTGCTTCATTCCTGGAACCATTTTTATAAATCTATTCCACACTCTGTTGCTTTCACAAATTGACACACTATTTCGTTTAAAGTCAAACTAGTAGTTCATCGTAATCTTTTCTTTTATACTCTATTGCTCTATTTGTAAAACCCATGGCTCCAAATGCCTTGTTAACTGCATGCTAAGCCTGCCCTGCCAAATTCAACAATTTTTACAGGATAACCTGAGCTCTCATTGTTTCTACACCCCTTTAGAATTGTATCAGTTCAGACTTGCCTAAATTAACCCTACCCCATCATAGAGTAATATAGCACAGAACCAGTCCCCTCGGTCCTCGCCGACAAAACATTGCAATCTGACCTGGTCCCTTTTGCTAGCATTTGGCCCATATGCCTCTAAACCCTTCTTATTCATATACCCATCCAGATGCCAATTGAATGTTGAAACTGTACCCACCTCTACAACTTCCTCTGCAACATGCCCATCCTGCCCATCCATCCCATCAGCCTACGTCCTCTTCACAGTTCACCAAAGTCTGTCATTTACATAGATTTAGGAAAATAATGGGTAGAACACCAATCTCTGGGGAACCCCAGCAGTCCAGAAACAACCATTCACCACTATTCTGTTCCTATCACAGCCAATTTTGAATCTTTGATGCAGCTGTCCCTTTTATTTCATGGGGTTTAGCTTTATTGATAAGGCTGTTATGTGGCACTTTATTTGGATGCCTTTTGGAAGTTCTTGAATACCTCATCAACTCAAAGATTGGAAAGGGTGTTTGGCTGTGTTGGATTAGTTCAGTTTGGTTGTGCATGCCCCAAAGTCTCAAACTGACCCTCTCAAACAATTGCTTTAGATTTGATAGGGCGTTTCTCCTTCATCAAAACTCTCAAATTACTTGCACAATATACCAAAAAATCTGTGCTAGCTTTCCTTACTTAATTAGGTCAAAACTAACAGTTATTTGGATTATAAGAAAATGTTAAATACCACATGAAGAGCTGGTTAACAAAGTTGACTTATGATGTAGGAAGGGTTGTTTCCATTGCTTTCTGGGGAAAATAATTACACAGACTAATGATCTTCTGATAGTAAAATAATCACATCTCCTCTCCATGTTAAAACGCAGAAATCACATGACACCAGGTTATAGTCCAACAGGTTTATTTGAAATCGCCATCTTTCAGGCACAGCCCTTTCGTCAGGTGTAGTGACTTCAACAGACAAAGGGCCTGTGCTTCGAAAGCTTGTGATTTCAAATAAACCTGTTGGACTATAACCTGGTGTTGTGTGACTTCTGACTTTGTCCACCCCAGTTCAACATGAGCACCTCCACATCATTTTAAAAGGGAGACCTCTTATTCTTGAGCTGTGACCATTAGTTTTAGACTCCCCCCACATATATGATCACAACATCCTGGTGAATCTCCTCTGTACCCTCTCTCTGGAGCAATCAACATCCTTCCAAATCATCAACCAATCCTTCATCCATGTTAACGTTACTTCCTGCAACATATGCTTTTATCATGTGTACAATACTTGGAGATACTTTATGAAATGTCATTGGAAACCCAAGGACATTACATAAACTGCCCTGTCTCTCTAATCCGCGTTACTTCATCAAAAAAAACTCAAACTAGTTAAACACAATTTCCTCTTCATGAAACAAGATAGATTCTGCTTGATTCCCCCATTATAATTTTCTAAATATCCTATTTTAATCTACATATTATAGTCATTTTCCTGTGACAGATGTTAGGCTAACTCCTGCTTTCTGTCTCCTCTTTTGGGGGAAAAAAAACGTGCTGCATTAACTATTTTTTTGTTTTAAAGTCTTGAGATGCAAGCCCTCTGGTGCTGATACAGAGGCGACTGTGGAGAACATACTTACACAGTGAATGATAACGACCTGGAACTTGCTGCCTACAATAGTGGTGGAAGCAGAGACGATCAGTGATTTCAAAAGTATAGAGGCTTGAGGCAAATAAACTTGCTACGGGGATAAAGTGAGAGAAAAGGGACTATCCGGATTGCTCTGGAGACCCAGCGTACAGATTTGATGGGCTGAATGTATTCTTTTTGTGCTGTTATGACTAAAGCAAACATGCAGTGAATTTGTGGTCCTATAACAACAAGAGTCAAATGATCTGTTTTTTAAAATGTGATATTTACTTCAAAGTAAGATTTGAGTTCCCCTGCTCATTAACATAGTGCAACAGAATCTATTGCATCCAATTAAGAGCGCAGATGTGCATCTTGTCCTAAAGACAGTACATTACAGAAGTATTCTTTGAGTGCTGCACAGGGTGTCAACCTGAATTGTGTGTTCAGGTCTAAGGTTGGACTTGTACCCAAAAGCTTTGAACTTAGTCAAGAATGCTACCGCTCAATCACAGCTCCAGCTGATGATTTAAAATTTGCAATTTGAACAAATAACTCAAACAATTGTTGGAAATATAATTAAATAATGTAAAATGTGAACAATAGGTTAGAGAAAAAAGTTACACATGCCTTGGTTTTTACACCTGCTGGTTTCAATACTATCCCATCTACATACTAGATATATGAAATACTTTGTTTGTCAAGAACATACTGTTGCAATAAATTTGCTGTTATAAGCAATGAGCAAGCTACATAAGAGTGAAACTACAGCACAAATATCAGAAAGCTTTGCTCAGGAAGCAGACCACCTCATAATAAGAATAGTCTTGTAATTTAATTCTTTAGAACTTTATCCAGAGCATTATTGTACACATATTGTTGAAATGTTTTCTACTTCACAGACCATTACTCTTCCAGACAAGTGAACATATTGCTAGTAGCCCAGCTGTAGGGGATATTGTTCCATACAGTACCATTCTTCATTTCCTGTTCACTAGAGCACCACCTGACCTAAAGCCACCACACCAGGTATTCAAAGAGCTGACTAGATAACAACCACTTAACTGCTTTTGGTTTTTTCTTTTCTGGGTAATCAATCTAATTGTTAAATTATAGCAGTAATGAAGGTTGTTTGTGTCAGTTGATATGTTTATGTAAATTCAAAATGAAATTGTCTTTACGTTTGCTGTTGAAGCTGTTTCTTACCTTGCTATAAATTCATATTATAAAATGTTTTATTCCTCATTAAATATACTTCCATACCACGGAAGTTAATCCTAGTTTGATTTTGGGAAAACCATGTTAGCGTTAAAGTCAGAATTAAGAATTTGTAAATATGTAATAATAACATTAGATTTCCTTTTTATTCCAATAACTATTCATATGCTAGATTTTCAAAATAGCATTCACTCAAATTATAAAGAAACAGATTTTTTTTAAATTGGTTACTTCAATTTCAATTTAGCTTCCTCTTAAGAGAAGCTAATATACTGACATAGATACTGAGCTTTTATGCAGCAGTCTCTATCTTCAATATTGTACTTTCCCTGTACACTATATTTCCCAGGGATAGCAAAAAGTTCGGTTTAGCTTTAGTGGGGCACGGTGGCTCAGTGGTTAGCACGGCTGCCTCACAGTGCCAGGGACCGGGTTCAGTTCCACCCTCTGGCAATTGTGCAGACTTCTGCATGCAGGCATCGGATGACTGTCTGCATGGGATTCCTCCCATACAAGCTAGATGGATTAACCATAGGGGGACGGATTGCTGTTTGGAAGGGTTGATGTGGACTCAATGGGTTGAATGGCCTGCTTCCATTCTAACTCCTGTGGTTATGTAGAAGAACTACATACTTCAAAGAATGAAGACCTCACATTGTAGTTAATCATTACACAATATTCAGGAAATAACTTTATGGAAGTTATTATGATCTTACTTCAAACATCTATTATTTTACACTTTTGAATAAATTAACTGAATATTGATGGCAATTATAAAATTAAGGCAGAATATTTTCTCACTGTTGAAAAATACATTGAATGAATGGATGTAAAAGCAGTAAACTGTGGGAGTGTTAAGTTTGAGTGCGTGTCTCAGCTCTAGTTTCAAAGGACCCAGCTCACAGCTTTAAAAGATTAAACCAAATCAGGAGTCCAAAAGAGAGTGAATACATTTTTACTTCAACACAATTACAAAAAGATGGAAGAATATCTTAACTATTTCACTGCCTATTTATTATTACGGTATTATAGTTATGTAACCATAAGACAACTGTGTGACATTAATTACAGAGGGCAGAGTGGTCTATAGCTCGGTATTCTCAATGGCTTGATGATCATCCATCAGAAAAGGATCGACTAATTCTCATCAGGTAATAAATACTTAGTTTCTGGAATTCTGAATTATTGTACATTATATGGAAATAAGCTTTTTAAAACTCTGAATTGGAGATTAGATACTGTTAAGGACATTAAAATAATTGATATGCTAGCTTTTCACCACTTCAGCGTAGTTTTTCTTTAAAGTGCATCAAATTAGACAAGTTGGTGGGTTTTCATTTTACGGCTAGTCTAATACTTGTTGGAACACAACTGTGCGGTGCCTGTTGACCTTGCAACATCCCAGATGCCTTGTGAAAGTCAAGTATTTTCCACTTGATGGCTGGAAAATTTAAGTGAGGATCACTTGTCATGCACCTCTTCACACCTAGTAGCAAATGAATCAATGTCAGTATTGACAGTTTGGAAATACTTTTTATTTCCTCTCTCAACTAAATGGCAAGATGAAAGCAAAAAATAGCTGCCACAAACTTGTTAGGATACAAATTTGTTTAGGTTTTGTTTTTGGTCGAGAACCAGTAAAAGAACCCATTACTAAGTCCTTTTTCAAGATCTTTCCCATTTAACAATGCTTTCACAAGATAACTCAATGCTTTCTTTTAAAAATGCATGCCGAACTCTTATCACCCTCGGTGAAAAAGTTCTCTTCAACTTTGTCTATGTCTAAATTCATAAAATGTAATAGATGGACTTCCGGTCCTGTCCGCATATTTGAACTTTTTGTAGCAGTTAACAATTTGCTTTTGTTAATCAGTTTTGTCATTTATGCTAATATCTCACATGGACAGGGGATTCCTTATCCAATGTGCTTAGCTCCCTGTTGTTTCCCTCAAGAATGTTCTCAAATCTGTTCACCTTTTCACAATCTGACATATCATAACCAAGCTTACCCCTCCTATGACCACCTATTTGAACAAATTGTTAATCAAACACATGGTTGATGTAGCTTCGTCACGTTTTTTTAGATTCTAATTTTTTTTTATGTTGTAATTGAAGTTAATGCATACTGTGTTTGAGAATCCTAAAATGTGATTACAAAGTTTTGTTTCTTTTAGGGGTGCTCTTGAAGCTTATGTTCAATCGGTACGAGCAAGAGAAGGAAAGGAATTTGCTCCAGTATATCCAATAATGCTGCAACTCCTCCAAAAGGCCATGATCAACGTACAATGAGGCTTTTTTCCCCCGAAACAAGACGTCTCAGTACTTGGAACTTCCTGCCTGCATTGTTGGATAACTGTTTAACGTAAAGATCAACTTAAGGGAATAGGGTGATTTGAATTTTGGTAGTCTTTGGTGGGAAGTTTCCAAGTAGTTTATTACCTTGAAAAATCAAAGTTACAAAGAACTGTTAATTCATTAGCCATTTCGTGCATTGGGTCTCATGAACAGAAACCAGATAAATTGTATTGGTGGCATTAGTTGAATAAGTGTAGGTGAAGAAACCTCTGCTTCTGTTTGTGCAGCACGAGTGGAAGAGGCTCGCTTCAACACTTCAGTCATTGGGTGTAGTTATCTAATACAATCAATCAATCTATATGCTCTTCTAATTTTGAATTATGTACACCGAATCAGCTGCCTTGGCTGAGTAATTTTTCTTGATTTCTTTCTGTGCTGTCAGCATACATTCATTAATATGAAATATTGTTTTAAATAAGTATAACAAGATTTGATTTTATTTCCATTTGCCCAGATCTTTCCTGTAGCATTGAAGAAGGTGCATGTTATACCGACTGCAATTTAATCTGCTTACTTACAATTGTACGCAGGAGCTTTGAACCTGATGATGCAGGAAACACATTGTCAAACTAATTCCAGTGCAGCCGCACCCCCTTGTCATATGGTAAAAACAGATACTTTTAGTCTGGCTTCAGTTGTTGTCAAATACATTGCTGGGGGATGTGAAGGAGAATGTTGAGCTTCATTTTGGGGAGGGGCTGGAAGTGAGGTCAGTCGTGAAGGAGAGAGGGAAGACAACAAAAATGCTCAACACATCCGTAAGACATCGGCACAGAACTAGGTCATTCAGCCCATCAATTTGGCTTTGCCATTTAATCAGATTACGGATGATCTGATAATCCTCAACTCTAGTTTCCTGCTTTGTGCCTGTAAAAATTTGTTTATCTCAGCCTTGAATACACTTAAATGACCCGGCCCTAACAGCCCTCTGTGGTAAAGGATTTGCAACTGTCGTCAGGGATTGAGGAATTCCTTCTAACATTCACTCTTCTGACATCAAGTGGACAGCACCTTGGAATTATGGAAGGTGAGTCACAAGAGGGATGGAGATTATTGTAGGTACTTTGAAACACAACAGATTTACTTTAAAGAAAGATTTTTATTCCTAGTATAAAACCAGCAAAACTACAAGTAAATCAAAGTCTTGTGCAAACAAGCTACTCTTTAGTTCTGGCCATCTGATTTCACAGCTGTTGGAATCTCAGCAACCTCAATAGATAAAACTAGCAATTAGAACTTAAAAGTTTCCTTGGGTGTGCGCATGTTAATACTTCATGTTAACTCATGGTGCAAATCTTGCTTGAGCAAACATTGATTATCTACTTTAAAAGGTTCGACCTTCAATGATGTCACAGGACTCCAAGATAATGGTTTTAAAACTATAAAAATTCTCATTGTGCACAAATATTTAAACTAATCGGCAAGTTCCCATAAATATCAAAAAGTTATTGTACAATATAAATTAAGATTTAAAAACTGATTTGATGTAGATGAAATAAAAGTTAGCTTTTTTTGTATGTATGTGTTTTATTGTCAAAATTCCTCACTGTCCTATGTTTTAACAATGAGACACATTTTACAATACCAATGAATAGATGAGTGTTAGTGTTAATGTCTTTAATTACTTAAGTTGTGTTTTCCGTTGTATTGTTACGAATTATTTCCAACATAACTTTAAAACATTAGGGATTGAAGGTGAAAATCAAAACCAGCTTAGTGTTGCATTAGATAAATAGCTCTCTTCTTCAACTTGATTCATTTCTCAGTACAACATACCTCTCTACTTGCTGCCTGCTGAGCTTATATAGTTGAGGCTTTTGAAATCTCAAGCACGTGTAGGGTACCACTAGAATCTAACCAGTAAGTTCTAATGCCATCATCAGCCAAAATTTTCCCAAGCAGCTTTAGAATTTCTTAACAGTAAATTACCCATTACAGAAAGTTAGAGAGGGAGGGAAAGGTGCATGTAGGTTCTGACTTTTTCCTTCAACTGTCCATTAAGACCATAAGACAGAAATATGCCATTTGCATTAAAAATTTAATTGTACTATTACCCTACTAGTGTTCATACTACATTGTTGTCAATTCACTTAACCACAGTACCTTTTGACTTCAGTCAAATGCATGTATCTCAAACTCCATGGTATTATTTTATTACGTCTGTCATGCCCTTTTCATGGTTCTGATATTGTGTGTAAACAGTACTGTAGTGTCCTGTATTAATTAACTATTACTTTAATTCCATATATAAAACCAGAATAGACTTGTCTCCTCCATCCAAGTTGAAGACTATTTATATATTCAATTAATAACAATGAAAAATGGTTTTTCTGAACATGCATGACTTCTTGAAGCACAGACTACCATCATTCCTACAAATATTCGGTGCCTGATTAAAACAAGGTGTGTGAGCCAATTCCATACTTACAGCCTCATCTGATAGGTCTTGTTGTAGATAATCTAACCTTGAACCCTCAACTATGTATTTTGGAATAAATATTTCAAATGTTGCACATATTTTGTATTGAATACATTTATCTTCTGATTAAAACAATGGTTTTATCACAGTAAAAACCAGCAGACATTAAAATTTTACAAATTTATTTTAACTTGAATACAATAAAAATAGTTTGTACTTTTGTGCAAGAGTTCCTGTGGGACAACAGCATGTATAAAGACATAAATTTACTTGAGTTAAAGCAGTTGCATAAATGTTGATCTGTGACTGTAATATCAACACTGCATGGCATAAATGCCATTCCATGAGAATGTCACATTGCATGAGTCATTTTCACGTGCTCGCTTTTCGTAATGTTGCAAGAAACATTAAAGTGCAATAGTTTTTAGCACAATTGTGGCCCAAGTGCTGCTTGTGCCCCAATTCTGAATACAAGCCTCGAGTTTTATGGCAACTTTAGTTGGCTAAAACACCACAAAGTAAATTTGGGAGTATCCCTGCTACATATACTAATTCCCCCACCGTTTGCAAATAAAGTTAATTGAATTAAAATTGTGCAATATAGTGAGTGATACAAATCATGATACAACAGCAGTTATACAGAACTTTAAACTTTACCCATTTACAATCTTAAAAATAGACATCTTTATATACCTACTTTTTCCTCCCTTACCTTAGCACCACAGGATTTTAGTACAAAGTTTTCAAGCCTAAAGCTATATTTACCTGAAATAACCTTTGACTGAACTTTGGAAGAACAAGTATTATGGCCATTTACAACATGCAATAGTTTTAGAAAAGTCAGAAAGATTAAATGCTTTGATTTACAACTCAATTTCAGCCATTTATATAAAAAGCAAACTATACTTATTTTATTACAATTGTCTAAATATAGATTTATCACACAAAAGAAATCTCAAATTTAAATGAAAGATAGATACACTGAGTCTTTGCTCACTTGCATCCAGTTTTCTAAATTCATTCCAAATGGTGAAAGTAGAGGATAAAGTGGGTCTCAAAAGCTTTCTGGTCACTGCTGCTGAGAACCCTGTGTTTTTCAAGAAATAAAATAAGATTATGGTAAATTTAAAATTTAAAAATCAGTACATTTACATGAACATTAAAACAGGGTTTCATTCAGACATCTAGCTGAGACTTAATAAACAATATACATTAATGGAAGGATGAATTGTTACAAATTAGTTATCCTGAGCTTTAATCCATAGAAGCAAATAAAGGGAATACGGCAGCACACTCACTATATCCTTAATCTAAATTTTAAACAAACTGCAGTTGTTAATTGGAAAATTCTATTGTCATATCTTAGTAACATTACTAATGTGTTGCTCAAGTACAAAATTATTTACTTGAGCATTGTAGAAGGTGGGGATGGGAGGGAACAGACATAAAACATTTAGCTAGAAAGGAAATGCAAATAGGGCTTCTAGAAACAGGGAACTGAAAAATTAAAGGAATTTGAAAGGAGGAGAAACTGAAGGCAGCCTTGGAAAGGTCTGCTAATGGAGTACCAGCAGGTTGAAAACCAAACCGAAACACCCAAGGAATGATTGGCTCAGATTTCAAATCTTGGACTTGTGGGAGCTACTTGTGCATTAGACACAAAGCTAGCTCACAGATGCAGCAAATAATCAGGAAGGCTAATGGAATGTTGGCACTTATTTTAAGGCGGGTGGAGTATAAGAAGGTCTATGAGGATGATCCCTGGTATGGAAGGACTGTCTTTGAGCAAAGGCTAAACAGATTGGGACTCTGCTTACTGGCATTTAGAAGAACGAGGGGTAAGGGGCTTGACTCAGAATAAAGGCATGCTAATTTAAGACAGATAAGAAATTATTTCCAAGGGTTGAGCGTCTTTGGAACTCCTTGCTACAGACAGCTGTGGGGGCAGACTGCTTGTGGTTAAAAGGCTGAGAGATTTTTGACTGGTAGGGGAATCATGGGTTACAGGAAATTAGACAGAAGGAATGCTAGATCAGCCATGATCCTATTGATTCCTGTTTCTTATTAAAATCAGTGAAAGGTCACCTTTCTTCAATGATTACCTCAGTGATACTTTCCACGAGCTCACAATGCCAATGCTCTCATATTATTTTACCTAAAATTTGGTCACTTCAAACCAGAACAGCCTTAGGCACAGTTGTTTTAAAACCATTTCTATTTGATATCTCATTCTCCATACTCATCTGCATTTTCCATTCTTCCAACTTTGACCTATGAGCATCAGTTTACATAGATTCACAATGGTACCAACAGTGGTAAAGTCTTCAGTCGTCATCTTGCCCTGGCAATCCCTAAACTTCTTCGTAAATGCCACTCATCTTCCACAGCTTCAAAAATCTAACTCCTCCTCGTCACTTTCAGATTTCACCAACTGTGAAATGCCTTGGGACATTAAAAACACTATGTGCAAGGGTTATGGTGTTTCTGGAAAAAGAAATGTGTTTGGCTAGTAATGTGGCTGAATTGAAATGTATAACGTTGTCAGTTATCAGTTTTTTGCAATTTCCGCTGAAATACACGACACGGATTTAGGAAGTCGAGGGAATAGCTCTTGAACAGTGAGTGATCAGCAGCAGTCGTGTAAGAGTGTGTCAACGATGGTCATGTTGCAGTTGCTGAAATGGATGAAGGACTGGAAGAAAAGTTAGAATTGAGATTGCTCATGAGGAAGGAGAAGAATTTTCCAGAGTTTGATCACCAGCAGGGAGATGATGTCGATGGCCTCAAAAGATAGTGAAACCCTGTCATTATTTAGGATCAATATTGGGAAAGTAGTTGAAGTGGAGTCTGAAGGCAACTCGTAAAAGTAGGCAACACAGGACAGTTGAAGTCACCAAGTAGTTTATGGAGTATAAAGGATGGGAGGTATATAAAACAAGTTATTCAATGACTCCTCTTTAAAAATCTGTGTAGTTCTAACATTCACATACTTGTATGTTGACTTTGTAAAATCTTCAAACAGTTCTATCATGCAATTGAGAACTGTCATTACTTAATTAACTTTGCAAGTAAGTTATGACAAATTGTGATTTTTTTTTAATAACCTAAGACATCAATGTTAATGAAACATGGATCATTGGAGGAAAACTAAGCAATGCAAATATAACTGGCTTATATTGTACTTCTCTAACAAATTGATTGTTGAATCCACAATATTTATGAGAAAAGACATTAGGAAAATACCTACAAAAATGCTCTTGACTAATTAACCTGTTCAACTCAAACCCAAGTCTCCTGGCCTAGAAGTAAGAAGACCACCACTGCACCACAAGAGCCTTGTAAAAGGGTGTTTTTGTATTCCTAGAGGACTATCATACCACTTTCACTTAATTTAGTTATCCTATAAATTTACTAATTCCTTACTGGAGTTGTCATCAAGATCAGTTCCAACAATATTTTCGAATGTAAAAATTAAACTACTGGAGCTTCCAGAGGAGACTCCACTTCTTAGACATTTCGTTTAAGAGGACATAGTTTTACATTGTTACAATGTCAGTGAAACTTTGATCATCTTGGTGAGATTCTGCAAAACAGACATGATGGTGCTAAGAGCAGCTCCTAACGTTTAACTCTCGAAAGCAAGTGGTGTCTGAGGAATTTAGTTGAGATAAACCAACACCACAAGGCATTCAACATTAAACATCATTACCAACTAATTTCTATTTTTCAGCAATAAAGAGAGATTGCTAACCATTAGTCTGAATATAAAACTTTCCCCTACCATTATTCCAAAAGAAAAAAAAAATTCAATACAGTTGCTTGATGGAACATAAACGTTTGGATGCATTGACTATTAGATACACTCACAGAGTTGCTTCGTTTCCTTTTCCAGCAATCTGGATTAAGGCGTTTTTGTTCCTCTGCCAGAGCCTTGGCTTCCATTGTATAAATTCTCCTCTCTTCATTTTTCATCATTTTCCACTTGTCACCTAAAATTACACTGATGGCCCTGCAATATACACAATAGTTGTATCACTGGGCTTAAAAACGAAACATTCAGTGCATACTTTCGTATTTGTCTGTTAAATAAAATCTGATCATACTGGTTTCTGTTACACAAAACTATCAATAGTCTAGTAAATAATTTATGCACTGATGATACAAAAGTGCATATTAAAATGCAAAAATTAAATTAAATGCATCACAATATTATAAGTTGTTTTGAACTTGGCATCTTTAAGACCATTGTTTAAAGTTAGACGCACAGAGTCCAGTTTTCAGTGATTTTCAATCCGAGGAATGCCCTTTAAATGCATTAACTGTTGTTTGAATTTTATTTAAAAACTTATTCTAATTCTGGTTGTTAAATGAATATGACATTGCCTCATAGCATTCCAACTTCAGCTGGAAAATATGGACAGGAGTCGTCTCACCTTCCAGTAATCATGCCTGCACGTCTAATCACCCACCATCTACAACTGCAACCTGTACCAGTCAATGTACTTTTAGGCTCATAGGGAAAATTAGCAACGGAAGATCTTTGGTGAAGTTCCACTGATCAAGGAAAAAAAAAATACATTTTTAGGAAGAGAGCAGTAACATTTCTATTTTTAATCACCTTCCACTTTTTGGAAAAATAAGCTTTTTTCTAACAGCTGGCAATAAAAATGCAACATAGATCACGTCAGATTACCTAGAATAAAAAGCAAGCACCTTTTAAAAATCCACTGACCGCTCTGCTGCTATAGTTTCCTTTCCAAAAGGAATTTTGTTTCTACCACTCTATCATCTCAGTAAAACTAGTCTGTTTAAAATCTCAATTTTCCACTCAAATCAAGTGCATATCATTTCCAAACAAAGGCTACCTACTTCAACTTCGTAAAAATGCCTGCCTCTGCCAAATGGGCTGCCAGACCGTAACCTGTGCCTTTAGCTCTGTGATTCCAATGCTAAGTTCCAACTGTGTTTGACTCTTTAACACTGTAATATATACGGAGAAGAAAACTCTATTTTTATTAAATGAAATCTTCATACTCTACCTCCGGCAAGGATTGCATTCTCTCAGTTTCCCTGTCTCCATCTGTTCCAAGTATGCCACCTTCCACCAGTGTTCCTCCAACACAATCTCCTTTTACTCAAAAGATTCCACCCCCACTGTGGTCAACAGCCACGTCCAATGCATTCCCCACACTTCTGCCCTCACCCTTTCCCTGGACAACAATAGTGCTTCCCCTTGTCCTCACTTTCTACCTCACTAGTCTCAAACTGAACTAGTTCCATTTGGCCCATATCCCTTTAAAACCCTTCCTATTCACATACCTGCCCAAAATGTCTTAAATATTGTAAACTGTACCTGCATCTACCAGTTCTTTAGCAGTTCATTCCATATACTTGTATTCTGTTTGCTTTGCTCAGCAGAGAGAAACCACTTACTCCCTTTCACCCTGAATTTACACCCATTTTACATTTCTATTCCTCCTTCATTGCAAGGAATCAACTCTTGTACTGGGCTTTCATCTGTTCACCTCACCCCCTTCTCCATCTCTGTCAAAATTATAAATACCACCATTTTCCAACACCTTCAAGTACCTAAAAATTCATATTGGACTCAAAACGGTAACTGTTTCTTGGCCTAGAAATGCTGCCAGACCGGCTGTGTTTCTTTAGCATTCTTTATATTTACTGCAAATGAAAGGTTCAATCAGTATGTGATGTTCAAGGAATCTATACCACAAATTAATTGGTGGTCTGCCATTTAATTAAAAAGGGAGGACAAAAATTCTTTACAATACTGTAAACTCTTTCATTTTAGGCCAGACTGGTTTGTAAGGTGGATGTATGAGAATACTATATGCAGGGATTAATAACTGACAATTACTGTTAGTTTATTGAGTGGCAGTGGTTAACAGAAAATTAAACTAGTATTGGATTATATTTGCTAATCTCTCAGAATGCATTTATATTTTTGATGAAAGTAAACCTCAATCCAAATAAGACTATAACAGCAAAATTGCAAAATGCTTATACACTTGTTGCAAAACAAGCATAACGTTTTTTAAAAAGTGGATAAAGGATCACGCTGCAAATTGAAATCACACAAATCAATGATTTAAAATCAACCTTCATTCCCACTGCTTAAGTTCTCAGAAATCTCAATACCAACATTCCAATTGCTCTGGTATCTATTAACTACACACAACAAAATGACCAAATATTTTTTCAAGCTACTGGTCAAAAAAAGATACTAGAATTACTGAATACCACAACAATTTAATTTAAAAGAAAAGCCTAAATAAGTTGGAATATGACAGTTGTTAGAGCAGTAGCTATGTAGAATATGTAGAATATCTGATGACCTCTGGTGGTATGGCAATAACTGTGTTGAACATTTTCTACAAATTTTTTGAAATTTGGACATGTAAATATGAAGCCACAACTGCCTAATGTCAAAACTAATGAGTTTATGATATCAAGTCAATTCAGATGACCTAGGTGCAAACGTGGTTCTTCATTCTTTGAATTGTATACATTCCCCATATATCAGAGTACAGGCCTGCTTGAATTTGGGAGAATTTCATGCTGAGGATGATACGAACACGCTGCTTCATGTTGTCCCTTACTTTGATATCGTTTTTTAAAAAAAAAACAAAAATCTGCATTGCTTTCTTCTAAAACTGACCCTAAAGCCATATACACTGGTAAGGAAGGCTGCGAAGTGTGGTGGGTGAGAAGTGCACAGCGTTAGATTGCTGCTTTTTCAGCATCAACCACAGCCCATACAATCATAACACCAAACATGGTGAGGAAAGGCCATAAATCTGAAAAATAATCACTATGTTCCTCTCTCTCAAGATATTCATCCAGTGCTAAACTGGATGTTACTGAATTTCTTACATTAATGGTAGTTGTCAAATACCTTGCAAACATGGAGGAAATTTGGCAGTTGTTCCTCACAGTTCTGTTTCACAACCCAACTGGGAAAGCTGCAGTATCGTGCCTGGGTGGTTTATACTATGAACATTTATAATAGTTAATTTGATTGTATTTTCAAGTTTATATTTTACCACCAAAAACCTTTATGTTCTACTTATGAGGGGTCTTTTTTCCCCCTGCAGGGTTAGGCCCATACTTTTGCAGAATGAAACATCAAATACCTGATGTACCAAATGACTCGTTTTTTTGGACTGTAAACTCTCTATGTAATATGTAAAACTGTATCATGGTTCCTTACATCCTGATATTCATTTGTAAATTCCTATCTTATTGTTTCTGAACTGGGGTAAAACCCAAGCTTTAACTAATAACATCTTTGATGCTTTGTCTAATCTGACCTACTTTACTTGGATTTACTGATTAAAGGTCCAACTTAAGGATCAAAAAACCTACAGCTGGAAACGAGAAACTGGAACAGGCTCTGGAAATTCAAATGATAAAAAAGTAAACTATTGCTTGAAACAGCGCCATTATTTTAAAACATGACATGCATGCTATCCTTTCCACATCTTAAAAAGACCTATAGAGAAATCCACATTGTTGGATATGTTGTCTGTGGATGATTTTTAAACCAAGATTCCATCAGTCCCCTTTGGCAGAAGTGCAAGATTACAATATTTGAAAAAAAAACACGGTGTTCTTCCACTAGGCTTGGAAACATTTTCTCCTCAGCTAAACAATAAACATATCATCACTGTTTATGGGATCTGGTGTGTTGTGTGGAAATTGGCTGCTGCTGAGTTTTGATTTAGATATTAAAATACATTGACGAATCTTAATGATTGCAATTTCAAGTGATTAAAGTTTTAATATGTTGGTTAGGTTAAATTAATTGTCTTTTTCTTAAAAATAAAGGAGATACTATATTAATCAACAAGTCCTACAGAAAATAACTCTGTCTATAGCATTTCCAATTAAGTGTAGACTAGAAAGAGCCAGCCAACTATACAATTTATTTCTCCAAACAACTATGCTTAATAACACGGAGGCTAACAGCTCTCATCTTTATTGATGAGCTAAATCTGACAGCAAATTTGAGCTTGCACACATGCAGTAAAACACTGCAATTGAAGCACTGAAAAGGTGCAATTCCTTGTCCAACTCTTACCAAAAGGTCCTGAGGGGACACTGCATGGCCTGGTAACAACAAAATGCCAATCAAAAGTTTAAAAAACCCTGAGCATCTGTAAGCCTAATGAAAGGCATGTGCCATCTCTTCATTGCTAGTTGGAAAACATTGCCAGTACCAAGACTTCTCTCTTTTCGAAAGAAGGGGTGACTAGTAGAAGCTTTTGATTGGCAGTAAGGGATGAGATATGTACAAATTTCTTTCCTGATTAGAGTTCCAGAAACAGTACGTATATATTTAGGACAAGAAAATCTAAACTCAACAATGTAGGTTTGGCTACAGTGCAAGTTATTGAACTGGTAAAAATTATGTAGCCCTATCTGAGCAGTTTAGGCACCCAAGTCATGGCACTTTGGTTGGACTATTTTTAAACTGTATCCAGTATGTCTTGTCTGAGTTTTATGTGCTTTCTGATATGAAATAGATGCTTCATAGTGCCGTTGACTCATAGCAGAACAACCAAGAACTACTAAAATTTGCAAATGGAGGCATGTCCAAACAGAGGTTGTGGATTATCCTTCATTTGCATACATTGAAGATTCATCCATCATTCAAAAGAGGCCCACAAAAGCTAGAGGCTATGGCATGCTTGCTTCATACGTCTCAAGAAGTAAATAACAGCATCCTGGTACCTGAAGAAATTCATGGTTTTTACTTTGTAAACAATGTTATATAGAAATGAAATAGAAAAATGAAGAAAACAGGTGAACAGGCAACACAGATCAATGGTCTCGCCTGAAGTAAATATTCAATTCCCTACAAAGTGGGTAAATACTTGCCTGACGAGTTGTTTGAACAGTGTCTTGAATCTAGTTCCCTTGAAGAGTCAAAGGGTAGCACCTGAAATTACTGTTAGAATTGGGTTTCCCCACAAATTACAAGATTGTGAAGCACAAACCACAGCTTTAGGCTGAAGATGGCCATGACAATTTGACACTAAATTTCTATAAATGCAAAGTCATGCAAGAATTCCAGGCTTGTATTTGTATAAATACAAGATTTGTATAAATTGGCTGTTTGAAAACTTTAAGTACTTCAAGAATTCATACTCTTGAAGACAAAAGGATAAGAACATAACAAAGATTTCACAATTAAGACTTGAAATAAAGTTGCTCGATTTACAAGGGAAACCAGCACTTGTTCATAATTAGCTCCCGGATAGTGGATGTATTCATCTGCTATTTTTGATACATTCATGGCATTTGTGCTGACAGAGGATCTCCAGATCTAAGTGAGATTATACATGTATATTTTAATCTCAATAGTTTAAAATCCAAAAACTCAAAAAAAAAAAACAGGTCAGTCTTTCCAAAACCGTGATTTTAAACCAGTGCGCATCCCCTGGAGTGTTGATGGAAGTCTGTTACTATGGCTTTCAACCAGAGAGAAAAGAGAGTTCAACAGAATCTGGGATGAGCAAGTGTTTTTTCAAATTTGGTTTTTGGGCAGTCAAAATGAAACCTGACTGGGGACAGAAGCAAGTGAAGTTTCTCCGGCAAAATGGAGATTGTTCAGAGCATTATGGAGATGAGTTAGTTACCTCAGTGAAAGGGTGTAGTTTGTGAAATTATCAGAGCAGAAGTGTTCAGATATAATTCTGCAGATTATTAAAACGGGAAAATGTCTAAGCTCTCAGTTGTAAGAGTGGTCAAGGGAAAAGGCTTCTCAGCTTACATGACCAAAACTGGGAAGGGGCAGTCAAACCTACAGATTTACTAGGGAACAAATTTCCCTATTTTGCTAATTAACTGCAACATGATGGCATTGTGGAGGAGAGGGATTTTTTTGTTTGCAGGGTGTTTTGAAATATTTCAAACTGTTATGTACATAGCTTGGATTGTTTTATTTTAATTTTTGTTATGAATTTGTTTTTGTTGAAATCAAATCTGCAGCTTTACAAGCTTGTCTTTCAGTGAAATATTGCCACATTAATTTAAAAAAAACACAAATATGACCTATCAAGCTGGATTTCGTTAGGATATCTGTCTTGTCCAGTAGTAACAACAGCTGACATCATTATACTTCGTTGTACTACTTGTGTTATGATCCAACACATCCAAGGTAATAAATTCATTAGCAACATCAGGCAAGCCTTTGAGTATTCACTGTTTTGAGGAGTGATTTAGATCACTATGTAACTGCAATACCAAACTTTAACACAATGTGCATTATACATTTCTGTTCCATTGACAAACTCAGGAGGCAGAAGTTCTGCATGGATCTGAGTACTAAAGATGTCAACTCTGGACATGGAAACTACTCAGTGTAGGTTATCGGGACCTAGTAGAGCCCAGCACATTGATATATGGCAGATAGTTGATTCAGGAGGATAGTGACAAGCATCTCAATGGAACATAGCATTACAGGGATGTTTCCCCAACATCAGTCATCCTTGCCAGGTCCTTTGTCAAAACTCAAAAATTGGGCAGATCCTGTAGGGGGAGGGAGCGAGGAAAAACACTGATTTGGGAGGAGTTAGAGATACAACCACTTATCTCGAATTCCCCCTGCGACAATCAGAAATGTAATCAAGAATAAAATAATGCAATCCTCCAAAATATTTATTGGCCTTTTTGATTAGTTTTTATAACTATTGTATTGCAAAATATATCTTAGAAAGCTAGCCATATGAAAGCAAAAATATGATAACTGGAAATACTACAGCAACTCTGTTCTTCCCACCATCTCCCTCACCCCACCCCACCCCACCCCATACGCAATAAACAGAGGGATTGCTACAGCAAGAATTTATCTCAAAGCAAAAAACAAAGTCTTTGTACAAATGCAACAAATAATACAACATAATTGCTAATGAGCCTTGTGCTTTACTGTATTAAAACCTACAAGATTTATAATTGAAGTTTATATATTACCAACCTGTTGTCCTTTCCTGGGTACATCTGAGTGTATTCAACCCTATACTTTTTGGCAAAGAGCATGAAGGCATTCATTGGTCTCTTGCATTTGTTATTTGTAGGAGATGTGGTGCTCAATGTGCTTGCTGTCCCTGAGGTTAGGCTTTTACTGGATTTATTATATGAATTACAAGGCAGGTGTGGTGATCCAGAAGGCACAGAGCCAGTGATCTGTTCTGATTTCTCGCAGTCTGGACCGCTGGTACTTCCACTTGTCTGGGAAGCACGACGCTGGCGAGCCATACTACTTAGTACATAAACAGCAGAGGAATCCAGTGGTGTAAAGTCATAGCTGTAACACAGTGCAAAGTAATAATTTTAGTAAAATTACAAATAATTATTTTCAAAAAATCCTAGCTTTTAAATTAAATATATGCCTTTAGATATTGCATGGGGAAACTCCTATTGGTTTGTCATGCACAATTAACCTGAAATCACTACATATTAAATTTTATTTTAAGTTATTTTTTCCACAGATTGTGCGTGCTCTTGGCTAGGCCATCATTTACTGCTCACCTCAATGTCCTTCGGAACTGGTTACAAGCCATATCTTGCATCTATCTGTACTTCACGTAATCCTTTCCCCATTTCTCCATTATCAAGAAAACTGGAACTACACCTTCCTACCAGTGATGCTATAGCACCCCAATTTCATAACACTCAGCTCCACACTCTGCACTGAGGGAGATTCTGGTATTCCAAACACTAACTCTCCAATTCCCAAAATGCAATCGTTTTTTCTATTTGTATTACGGAACTCTTGGATGGGTGCATCCCGTTCTACTAAATTTCAGCCTCTGTAACCAAATTACTTTGCTGTACCTCCACATAGCCGTACAGCGCTAACTAGAAACACATAACTTGCTTGTCTTCAACTACTTTATAGAATCAAGCGTTAGTTTATTGAAGTGTCTAAGAGATTAAGTGAAAATAGAGTCAGAATTACAAAGTCACACAGATTTTCCCTATGTGCCACTATCAGTGGGGAAACTCAAACAATATTATTTTAAGTTGGTCTGATAAGTTGTGACAAACAAACATTCTCGAGTGCTAAACCTGTTACACTTGAACATGACATAATCGTTAAAAAAGGTCTAATAATTAATATGCTTTCAAAAGAAATTCTTCACAAACAAAATAGATTAAGTGTCCCCTTTCTTTGGTGTTAAAATTCCAATGATTCAATCTGGATACTGAGCTACAGCTAGTGTGTTACAATTTGAAACATGTATAGCACAAAGTTTTAATTAACTGGCACTTGTGGGACCAGGGGTGTGCCAGTTGATCAAATATTCCAGAAAATCAAGAGGTCCACATAATGAACATAAAAACACACACCAATAGAAATGTAATGCAGGGGTATACACATTGCTGTTACACCTTATTAATAGCATACATAACTTAAACAATAACGCAACTTTGTCTTAAATAAAGTTTATTGGCCAAGAGCCTTCTCACTCACACCCTCAACTGACTACTCAGACATCACAGTAGAGCATGGTATTTTAGGAGAAATTGACTCGAAATCAAATCAACTGTTGATATTTCCTGAGGCCATTCAATTGAAGAAGTATATTTTCATTGAGGCAAATAAATGAAAAAATCTAATTGGACAGAATATTACATTAAACTTTGTGGTATTTGGAATATGTAATTTTTGCCAGTTTGCTGTTGTCACAGTTGACCTAACAGGATAGCACCATTTACACAGTGCTGTGAGCAGGACAATGCATGCTTATTGTCTACTTGTACTGATTAGGAGGAAGTAGATCTATACATTTGAGCAAAAGGAAATTTTGCTACGTAATAAATTTAGACGTAGAAATTGTCAAATGAAAATTGCTTATGTAGACCCGTCACAAGATAATTCTGTCATCCTGCCAGAACTGCACCGCCCAGCTCCTTACATTCTATGTAAAGTAACTCTATTTCTTTGTCTGCATACTATGAATACATTTTTCAACAGAAAAGCAAATGAGACAGCGAAGAAAATGTCAGAAGAAAAATGCAAGAAAGAAAAATGCAAGAAAGAGTCATGATTGTTCAACACAGTTGTGCCTTGTACTAAATTGTAACTCATTTATATGTCAAAAATATTTACAGGGCTTTATCAAAATGGCAAATATCAAAAAGTACACAAAGGCAAATAAAAAATTGATTTTTAAAACTATTTTTTTGCTCCAGAAGTAGAAGTACCTTGAATCTTGGGTCTTTAAACACAATCTAGTGCCCAATTGTGAAGACTCTTATGGTTGGTGGGTGTGAAAATTAAACATTGCAAACAGCCTTGGAAAAACAGTAACAGCAAAAAAAAATGATGTTTTCAAATAATAAAATGACCTCCATCTAAACAGGGACCTTCCGATCCCTAAAGCACAGTTTACTGCAAAATACTATTGACAATTACCCGAGAAAATAGAATTTGCACATTGTATGGAGATACGTGCAAAGGATTAAATTTAGCACAGGAAAATAGTTAAGGTTTACATACATCATATATTTTTGAATGTTTAGATTTTCATCATTTCAAAATTGCTTTAGTATTTCCTGACTTAATTTTCCAAACTTAGTCCGAGAGGAAGAGCAGATACGTTTATTCCAATGCAAGTGTTCAGTGAATCGGATCAAATTTTTAAACAGTTAATATGCACAAAAGAGGAGAATTAGGCAAATTGTGTGAAATTTTGCCTGTGCTTCTGAGCAATTCCTTGCCCTCTGCTTTGCAGTCCTCTGAAGACATGTGCCAAGATCAAAAACTTAACACAAGGTAAAAAATTTGATGAAAATGCACATCCCATCGTTTTACGGCTCATAATGTTGCTTCACCAATGCACTGCATTACCAGCTTAAACACACTTGGATACAAAAATAAGCCTCTAACTAAATCAATTAACATTTCAGATTAGTCAGCAATTGTAAATCACTGTAGCACTATGTGTATTTAAAAAGTACAATAAAGTAACCTTTGAACCGATGAAACTAAGTACAACCGAAGATCAAGGTTCAAATTTTAGCTCAATTGCAATATTTATCCTGTCTTTGGTTCTCAAAGAGAACATTATAGTTGATGTTAAATTTTGAAATCCAACACAAATGGAATTCCAGCTGTATCTGACGATTCCAACACAACTAATGATTAAATAGTATATAAAGTCAGTCTTACAGATCATTTTAGGAATATCCGTTTTTAACATCTTTGAGGACATACATCTTTATTAAGTAATTTTATAATTTTAAATACTGGTATGATTTAGAGTTAAATTAAATAATTAAACTAAAAACTTTTAATCTAAGTTGTTTATACCAAGGATTTCAGGATACATTGTATTATGTATTAAACTCAAAATATCATTTGTAATTAAAAAATTATTTGCTAATAAATAACAGATCAAGATAAATATATTTTATCACCTCCTAAATGTGTCAAAAACTCCAGAATCATCAAAATTGTTGGCATCTGGATGCCCGGGAGGTAGACAGACATCTCCAACTTCCATTTCACAACATGGAATTCCATGATGAACCACTGTTAAGCTGGGGTAAAAGGAAGACCATCCTGTATTTAGAGGAAAAAAAAA